TGCCTGGTTTTATGTTGATTTTTATGATGAAGTTGGGAGAAGAGATTTTTATGACCCATGGAACTCTTCGATCTTAAATTTCCCTCGGTCACGCGGGTAGAGAATCTCTGTCAGAGTGAGATTGTGCTATTTGTTACTCTCTCACTGTGCTTCGTTATTGATTTGTTTGGTCAATTTACCCTTGTTTGATGAAAAGCTGTACTTCTTTTTGATAAGATTATAGTTTATACCCGTGCCTGTTGATTGACTCTTTATTAGAATGCAATGCTTCTAGAGATTCCCTCATCTTTTGAACTTGCTCTTTGGAGAATTTCCACATTTTTCTAGTGGAATTTGCGATTTTGATTGTCTACATGCATTCAAACCAAGATGGTGACATGTTGCTTTACTGCTAGTCGTTCATGAATTCTTTGAGCGATCCGATGACTAGGCTGGTCAGCGTATTGTTATAAACAACCTTTGCCACTAATTTTATAGATTATACACGACCCGTCTTTGGCAACGGATCCTTTGGCTTGTACAGCTCTTTAGTGATATCGATGGTTTGCATGCTACTAAAATCCTGTATGGAAGAAGCAATAGGTTGACAGTTTCTGAGATATCTTTGCTTCAGGGTAGAGTAACGCACCTATCGATTTGAGGTAATTATCCTGTCGTCTTTGTTGGTGATAAACACTTCCATAAAGTTTGGTGGATAATCAGAGGCTTTTAACACTGTGCAGGTATTTTTCTTCCGTTTTCCATAGTGCTTCAGTGCTGCAATGTGTGTTGGTGCTTGAGAATAGTGTTTTTACAGAACATTTCTTAGGGACTGTAGGATGATTGCTGTTGTGGTTCAAAATTCGATGTGTATGTGTATTGTTTTCTTTTATACTTGAGTGTGTTAAGTCTCGCCGTGTATTCTGCTGATAAGACCATCCAAGAACAAAACTTTGTTGTTAGCTTCCTTTTTTCAAACACTCAATCGGTTTGAATGTGTTTTCTATTCCATACTTTATGAGGATTACGAACATGTCGTCAGTGTGCTAAATGCAAGTTTTTGGTTTAGTGGAAGGGATGACTTGATTCTAGCCACTGTATCATTGCTTCAGTAATCAATCCTGATATTTGCAATTCTACGGGTGTTCTTTTTGTGTCACTTTTGTTTACCCTAATAAAAGCAAACTAAACCTACTCATTTCTGCGCTAGGTTCTAGGTTGGTTCATTTGCCTATCTTTATTTTAAGGAGCCTGCTCGGTTTGTGAGAAATACTACAGTATACAATTGTTGCTTGTCGAATCATTTATCTGAATTTATGAATGGAAACCCTTAAAACCGCATATTCATTAAATTATATAGGTCTTTTTTTATCATAAGAAGTCTTCTGTTTCTAAGGCGTTTCACATTTATTCGGAATAAACTTTCCAAAGCATCCCACTTACCAGTGGTAGTTATCAAACGATCGTTATCTTTGATCACCATCATAATACTTGCTTCTATCAGTACTAATGTTATATCATAAATCTGTAATCCTCTCTTGACTATCAGATAAGCATATCTTAGGAGTTATTGGCATACTTCTGGGTTCCTACCCAGATATTTTTCATCTTTGTATACCTTGATGGGTCTTAATATTCCAAGACAAATGTAGTAATCCTGTGGTCATAACTACCCTTCGTAACCGTAATGTTCACTCCCCGTTTCGCCTAATGATTGAAGCCAATCGATAATAAGGAATAGGTTTCCAAACCGATCCTATCATCACGTTATTTTCTGACCATTCTTATTGTTTTGGTTACTGCTTTGCATAAGATGACAAAATATGCCCTCTGAGGCAAGAATAAAGAAGCGACAATTCAGCAAAGAAAATTTCCTCTTTTGATGATATCATCTTCTAAAGAGATAAAACGATAGTGATAATGATAATAACAAATTAATGAAATCGGAAAAATTGTGAAAATCTTAAGATCATGGTAAGATAAGAGATTGAACGTATTTCTCCTGCACGCAGCGGTCAAGCTTGCATTAGCGAATTGCTAGTGCTTCTCCTGTGCACAGCTATCGAAAGCGTTCTCCTTTTGAACTATTCCTTTTGACCCTGTAAGTGACACTGGAGGCGGACTCTGGGGAAGCCACAAAGTTCACTTTTTGACCAAGAATTGAACTGTCAATTGGTTTACATTCTTCCCTCGAGATCCATTCAGTACAGTGCTCAGCGATATGTTTGGAAAGTGCGCGCTTTGTGCGGCCAATATAACTAGCTCCATAGGAGCAAGAAAATTTGTTGGCACACATCGAGGTGGCTGAAAGCGGCAACTTGTCCTTAACATACCCTGGAATTAACTACTGACTGGTTAAGTTGTCTGCAGCTTCACAGCGAAGAGTGTCTTCTTCAGCGATTTGAACAGCCGGTTAATAATATAATAGTAACAATAACTTTATTCCAGATAATAACTTTTAGTAGTTTGGAGTTCTCGGTGTGGTATTTCAACAAACGTACTAGTACAATATTTTCAAACTAAATAACCACAGTAGCTAAATAATGTTAATAATAACAGTGTAGTGGGCAGTGATGCACGACAACCAGTAGCTTTTAGGTCATCACCTAGTTTGTATATTGTTGCACGTTAGATAGAAAAGCACACGCAAGTTTGGTGGTAGAGATTCATTCATCCAGTATGAAAATGTACTGTTCCAGCTACGTGTTCCTGTAATAGATATATAATGCACTGTAGTGCGCTCAGGGACCAACTGGCGTCTACTATGATATTTTCTCCTAGTCTTGTTGTTAACCCGTCTAACGATAGGTTAAAGACATTATAGGAGTGGGTGATAGTATGTTTTACGATTTGTTGACAAAATATTCTTTGGATCTGTGAGTACTTGTCCTGTATTCTTTTTTTAACTACACATTGAAAGTACATCTTAGAAGTAATTCTTTTAAATAATGCTTTGGAGTATCCACATGAAAATTATCATTTTCGATTAAATCACATAGAAAAGAGATAGTTTTCGTGAGAGAGACATTGGTAAAGAGAGAAACTACACCAAGAGAAATTATTTGCTTACCGGATACATTGACATTGTTAATTGAGTCGACAAAGTCGAAAGAATTCAATACACTGTGTATTTACCAGTTTCCTGATTAGTTGAAGGATGCCCTACAGACACGATAGCATGGTATGGTGAATTGTTCATGTCTAAAATTGGATTTATTGGGAAATCTTTGTATACTTTTGGGAGACCATATAAGTGAGGAGTTACAGAACCAGATGTTCGCAGTTGTCCAAATAGTTTAGGGTTGATGATAGACTTATTCTTCACATTCTTAAGAACCTGAGTGAACTGTCGTTCAATTTGCTTAGTAGCATCATTTTGAGCAGACTTGAAAATTTACTCTTATCTGCTAAGGTAGAGAGTATTTTAGCGTTATAGTCTGGACGATCCGTGAGGACAATAACAACGCCTTTATCAGGACGAACTAGCAGTAAATCTTTATTTTTCAAGATTTCACGTAGTTGTTTTTTATGCTCCTTTGTTAACAATCGCTTGCAATATGGTTTTGTTTTAAGATATTGATGGCAGGATCTAAAGACAGTTGATCTGAATTGTTCGAGTCTCTTGTTTGAAACTGGTAGAAGATTGTTTGTTTGGTTAGATTTTCAAACTGGACTTTTATGCCTAAATCATTAGCAGTTGCCGAAGAATGACGCAATTTTGGACGCAGAGTTAATACCTGCATTTGAATGAGAGTCAAAGATACATTGGATTAATTGAATACGTATTATTCTGATTAAAAAACCTTAGACTTAAGTTGATGAGATGACCGAAGCCAACAGAGTTACATTCTTGTTTCACCTTCAGTGTCATTTACAGAGACAAAAGGACTAGTTCAAAAGGAGTACGCTTTCGATAGTTATACACAGGTGAAGCACTAGGAATTCACCAATTCAAACCTGATCTCTGCGTGCGGAAGAAGTATGTTGAATTTCTTATCTTACCACCATGATCTTAACACATAATTTTTCTCGATTTTATTAGTTTACTATTATCATCTTCATTATGAACCTTGTATCTTTCTTAACACTCTTTATATCTATCAAGTGGACACTCAATCTTCGCGTTTCACACCTACCAACAATTTTCACTTTGTGAAACTGCTTAGCTTTCTCATTATTTCCATTTTCCGAAAGATCATTACGCAACTACTTTCCATTCTTGATTTCTGTTTTTAGCACTAGCTTAGTAATGCAGTTATACCGTATTGTTTAATAGTAGACTGTTATACGTTTGTGGTATATATAAATACGATTGTACAGCTCTAAAGAATGATATCGTTGAAAGAGAAAATTTTCTTCTTTGAATTGTCTGTTTTGCTTATTGTTATATAATGGTAATTTCTCCTCTGCGTATTCCTACATGATATCTAGGGTTTCATATTTTGGAGATTTATCTTTAATTTGATACAGTTGAATTCATATTAATTTTCTCTATAGAAACTCAGTGTCGGAAGTTTACGGTTGAACTATTGGTTCTCATATTGTATGAAGTTTGTTTTAAGTGAAATGAGAATGATTGGATTGATTGAGCTGTATTTCTCGTAGGTGTTGTAGCAAAATTTGGTGTCGATTCTACTGTTGCCACGGGCGTTCTGTGAGTATATATGTTTCGTATTGACTCAAGGATCCGATTTTAGCCAGTTCATGCTGTGTTTAAATTTCACTCCACCTACTTTGACCGAGAGGGGGGCGAGGAAGTATCCTTTACGCAGTGTTTATAGCTCAAAGTTTAGTACATAAATCTGTACCAGGTCCATTTTCATTGTTATTGTTAATACTTCAATTCTATTTGAAAAATGATACATGGCTATCATTGTTAAAATTCACTGCATACAACCAGGTTTCATATGTTCTATAGGTCTACTCTAATCAGTCCTCATATGCACTTAAATGTGAAATAAGTAATTTGCTTAATTTTTTAGTTTAGGTTTTGAGCTACTGTTAGTTTGATTTTTGTTTAGGTCATTGGATTCTTCGAGTGATGCTGGGAGAGTAACATCCACAAAGACATGCTTACAAGTTACTTATCATGGATACCTCAAGGATTGTGCACTGTTTCTTTTTAAAAGAGAGATTGTTATTGTGAATTTAGCGGTAGTTCACCCATTCGCTGTTATTTCTCTGGATGCTTCCTGGCCATCTTTTTCGCGCGTAAGTCTGTTATAATTAGGCAAAGAGTTGAACGTTTTGAAGCTAGTATTACAGTTGTATAATCGTAGGATTATTTCAAAGTAAATGATGGTGCTTATTAAGTGGATAGTTTTAAATGGTTATCATGATGTCATACAAATTGTATGTATGGGAAGGAATTCAGCTACTATGTTATGCACTGGAGTTAGGTGTACACAGACAAATTATTTCATTGAATCTTTACCAATAGAAATTCTTATATAAGTGCATCGAAGAGGATACTTGCACGATCCAATTAATCGTGTTAGCGTATTATAAATAGTGTTTATCCTCACTTTACCAATATGCGCACATGCATCTTCATGATTTGATCCCATTTCATTTTTGCCACTTAATTGATTCCATTCTTTGCACGATTTAGAAATGTGGAAGGTCATGTGTTGTTCTGTCGTACAGTAAGCTTATTCAAATAGCTAATTTAATCATCTTCACCAATTCTGCGGGGTGGGGGCTTTTGGAAACATACTAGACATATCAAAACGCATTGACTAGCTGTTCTCATTATTATTGTCAGCTTAAATGAAGTCGGATAAAATAGTAACAACATTTTCAAAAACAAACTTTGTGGAACATATTGAACAGTCACATTTAAAGAGTATTTTTGATTTACAGGTGTATTCCTGTACTCAACGTGATGTTATAATTTGTCTGCATGAAAATGGCAATTTAAGCGTGTACGCTTGTCGTGGCCTTGCTTTAGAAATGGATTCTTCTGCTCACCCGTCTCATATGCTGCAGAAACCTCGCAAAGAATCTGGTGATTTCTTACTTAATAACAAGTGCTCCTATGTTCTTGTTGCAGCTGCTGCTTCGCGCAGACGCCCAAAACAAGCACATCATGTTGATTTCTCTGTTGATCGAATGAAAGAGGTGAATATCGCAGTGGTTGCTATTGATGGGCGTGTGCAGGTAATTTTAACTTCGTTTGTTCATTTTGACTATACCACTTATCACTTCCTGTTGTAATGCACTAATCTTTGGTGTAAGGCTTTGAGCTTGAAGGTGATTTTGTCTATGAAGTCAAGTATTTTTATTTCTATACAGTCATGTGATTTGATTTGTTATTTAGTTACGACAACTGTCTTTTTTAGTTTGGTTGGGTAAATTACTATTAATTAGAGCTGTGGCTCATTGGTCTAGGCACTTTATTTCTAACCAATGGGTTACAGATTTGAACCCAGGCCTATATACCGAGATCTGAACAGCCAGGTAGTATCGTCAGACTTCACATAATAGTTATAGTGCATTACTTACTGCATGGACATGTAAGAGGTTGTTGTGTGGAATTTAGTTGATTTTCTTGATTTAGTTTCATTCCCTATCGTATAAGTTCAGGTATTTATATTTATTTTCACTTTTACTACTGCTCAAAGTTCTGGCAACTTCGGGGTATTCAACACCCAACTGTGGACAGTGAAAAAGTAAAGCCAATCTGGACACTTTCAGATCTGATACCGCACGCACCGATCGAAAATAAGTGAGTGAATTGTTTAAGTTGTCATTCATTTAGTATCCGTGTGCCTATCTATCGGTGCATAGGAAAAAAAATTCCAATTACGTCTACTTTCCAGTGAATGTGAAGTGGTATACAGTCTTTTATCAGTTGAAATTTCTAAGGTTAACCGTGTTTATTCTTTTATGTACATGACAGTTACACCCCAGGACTTATGAAACCCAGTTAAGTTGGTTAAGTAGTGATTTATAAATTGGTCTAAATTAAGAATATTGCAAGTGGGTGATATTCATATGCAAGTATATCATGTTTTCTTGTTACACAGGTGCGATTTTTTGCGTAGAGAGATAGGGAGATGAACGTGGCGACATATGTACTGAAAAAAAGGGATTGGTTCAATTTATCGAGCTTTATAATAGTACAAAACGACAAAACTCGTAAAAAAAGAAAGACAATAAAAAGGATTGATAAGATATATGAACGAGAAATTACTCGTTCGTGATGACCGATGAACTCAGACAATTCAGTTATCAAGTTGTTATTCATTGTAGACTGACATCAGCTGGAGGAACAAAGGAAACCTGGGAGCACTGGTAGTCCCATACTAGGACGAAACAGCTGTCCAGTGCTCCCAGGTTTCCTTTTTTCCTCCAGCTGATGTCAGTCTACGATGAATAACAACTTGAAATATTTCCAAATCTCCACAACTCCCTCAAAATTTAATTCAGTTATCACTCATGTATAAATTCTCAAGACCGGAGGAAAATGGAATTCCATATTTCATTTTGTAGATATGATATAAAGTGATGACGGTTCGTTTTAGAGATCGGTCTGTCTATAGCCTTCCTCTACAGAGTGGTAGTTCATCAACTTTAGCATTTGGATGACTTGTAGAAGAAAGGAAAAGCTCACTCATTCCTTTTGTTTCAAAAGTATAAAGATCTGCTCAGAAGATGCGACTAAGTAATAACTTAAAACTCTTTGAACACCAGTTTTGAACAACGGATGTCCTTGAAGATTAATAGTTCGAAACAATGTATGAATGAACACCCAAACTGTATGTTGTAAAACGTTTCGTCAAACTCTTTTTTTTTCTTCCTTTACCCTGAGAGTACTCTTCGAAGTTCGTTTTACCCTCCTTCACTCCATAATTTTGTCATTACCGTGATTGTTTTCATCATCGTTCCATCACACGTCTTGGCAGCACTTGGCGCATTTTTTACCTTGAAGTCAGCTTCTTTTTCGAATGACCCTCCTTATATTGTGCTCGCTTTAACAATCCCCTACCAAACCTAACAAGCGTATATTTACTGAGCAATTTCTCAGCACAGCTAACTGACATTTTACCAAATGTAAGTTCTGCCGTTAGTAAAATATATAATACATCATTGTCAAAGAAACAAAACGCCTCATCACAAACGTCGCACTCCATCGTGTTTATCACTTTACATGTGTGTGAACACAGCGAGGAGTAGTTGAGAACATGCACCTAGATGGGTTCGGTAACAGCTAGAGTGTGAAGATTTGGTAAGCACAGGCGGGAGACAACCCTCTTTATCTACAGCTAAACATATTATACCAATAGATTACAGAATTAATATTCAAATAGCTTTCAGAGTTTTATATTGGAACATTCCGGGGCTCAAAGTGAGGTTTTGCGTAAACGGTAGCCATACGAAAATTGAAACTACCTTTGGGCGTGGAAAAACAATTTGTTCTTACACTATACATACCTTGGTAGGCCTTGTTTCCTTACCAAGGTTAGGATCAAATATATCATTCTTCCTTTTTCATCTTGCCTAGTCTTAATCTCCTATTGTTAGAATTGTTCTGCTTTTCCTCTGATTTCCCGATTTCATATGGGTGGGAATACGACTGTATGTACAGCTTGGTAATGAAGTCATTGTAACGAAATATTTGTTTACTGAAGAAAACATGGTTCCTACTTATGGATTAAAAAATGTGAAGACCGAGTATATCTGGACCATTTTGATTACCTTTAAGTTTTCACTTATGGTTTTAAACCACTGAGTCGTCGGACCAATACTAAGTAACTTCGTGAATGGGTGGTGTTTTATCCAGGTCCCTTTGCCTTTTTCTAACCTTATCTTACTCAGGTCAGTGTTACACGTTGAGTGGATGGGTAGGTGGCTTTCGAGTGTATTTCACGACTCGGACACTTTAGCGAAGAAGATATTCTTTTTCGGCGATATCATTTTTTAAAGCTGTACAACTGTATTTGTGCGTACAACAGACATATCTATTATTGGATAGTAGGATAGAGTTACACCATTAGAGGAGTGTTCAAAACAACAGACATATCTATTATTGGATAGTAGGATAGAGTTACACCATTAGAGGAGTGTTCAAAACTGAAATTAGTAATGGAATGGAGTTGTGTAATAGCCTGTAAGAAACAATGAAATTAATGAGAACGGTAACCAGTTTCACTAAGTGAAAATTGTCAGTAGATATGAAATGCGAAGATTGAGTGTCCACTCGATAGATATAATGAACGTAAAGAAAGAAAGAAGTGTCATAATGAAGGTGACGATAATAGGCTGAATAATTATAATGAAATTGAAAGGGTTAAGACCATACCAGAATAAGAGAGTGAACGTACTTCTTTTGCACAAAGATCAGGCTCAAATCGAATTGCTAGTGTTTCTGCCGTGCACTCCTTTTTAAAGGACACTCTGTTGCTACTGTTACTTTTGACCTTGTAGACAAAATTGGCAAAGGATTCTGGTGAGGTTTAATGGCCAGAGTGGACCAGATTTTAAGGAACTGAAGTGGTGATTGATTTGTATTCTCCCCTTGATAACCATATAGGACAGTGTTCGGAGATGCGTTCGAAAAATATGTACTCTGTGTGGTCCATATAACTAAACTAACACCAAAGAAGCAAGTAAACTTGTGAATGAACACTGAAGTGACCCAAGGGGTAGCTTATCTTTAACACACTGTGGAGTCATTTATCAACTGGGGAAGGTGGTATGTACCTTTAGTGAGGAAAATGTTGTTTTCAGCTACTTGAGCCGCCAGATTCTTCATAATCTCTACTGGGGTTATCACTTCTGAAACCAAACTCATGAATAGTCTTTTTTGTAACAATGTTTATTCTCTTAGTATGCTGTCTACATCTCTAGGTTTTCTTAGTAAATATGGATGGATATCCATTGTATTCGAGTGTTTCCTGAAGTCTGTTCGACTCATTATCGAGTGCATCATTTGTTCAAGTTCTTCTGATTCTTGATGATAAAGAATAAGTCAGATTTCTCTTTTTTCTTGGTGGTCTCCAGTAGTGGAAATTTGTATATTTTCCATTGCATGTGACAGGAGCCATTTGGTGTCCACTTCAATCAGACATGTGGGAAATGAGCTCTGGATTTCTTCTCGAATTCTAATATGAGATTGACTTATTAGTGGGATTCATTAAACTTATCAATGATAGCTTAAATATCAGCATTTTCATCATATATGATGAATGCGTCATTCATGTATACCTTATACAGATAGGAACTATGAATTGTCAAGTGCTGTACACAATCCTCTAAGTTTGCCAACAGAGGACCAGTTAGTAACACCTTAGCAACCCTGTTGTTTTGTCCTTACAACTTGTTGAATTTGGTTTAAATGTTGAAAGTAAATCTTAGAGGCAGTTCTTTGAAATAATACTTTGGGATGTAAATATCTTAAGTGAAATCACATGGGGAACGAATAGTGTCTGTAAGTGAGACGTTGGTAAGGAGAGGAACTATACTCAGAGAGATGATTAGCTTACCGGATACATTGGCATTATTTATTGAGTCGACGAAGTTGAAAGAATCCGACAGACCATGAGTAATTAGGTGTTTTTGAACTCACTGTAATTATCCAGGATTCACATTTTCATTTTGCTTGGTTTTCATAACTTGTCTAGGTTACGGTCAAAACTTGTCCATCATATTTGCTTGCGTGAATTATGTTATTTATAGATACGAAACCCATCGTAGCAATCCCGTGCATTCTTCTAGTATTTGAAACTAATACTAAAGACTCACAGAACTTGTTGAGCCAGTGGACGAGTATGGTGAAACTCAGATCCCACATGTTTTTCGGACACACGCAGTCGGTATTAACTTATAGACATTGGGAACAGGACTCATATTCAAAACCTGAAGATATATCTGAGGTCGTAGATGTATAACTTCTTATTAATCTTCATTTTGGGCGGATTTCGGAGATGAAGAAAGTTTTACCTTATGAAAAGATTTTTGTGTTTTAAAAGGGATTAAAAAGAAGTTAATCTGAAAATATTTGATACTTTAAGCTTGTAGATACTAAGGAAGTAGATTTTCTCTGCATTAGGAAAAACGTATGAGTTAATAGGTCGGGTTTAACTCATCAAACATTCTTTTTCGTTCATATAAATCGGTGTGTTCATTCTGTTTGCGTTGTGTAGTGACTAATGCCTACTAAATACCAAGGATTTTTCTTATAGTGATACAATTCCATTGGTTCTGGCCATGTTACGTGCTTCAAATGCACTAAATATCAGTGATTTTCACCAGATATAGTCAGATAGTTAAGAATGGCTAACACTATCAAAAGTGGTACTTTTGTTTTAATGCATAAATGGCTACTTAATTAACTGCACTAATTACTCATTTCTTAAGTATTGGAGTACAGAAGTAGTTTATAGAAGAATGATGTTACCGTTTACCTGTTTTCTGAAATATAAGTCATTGTTTAGGTTGATAATATACATACTCTGGAGCTTTTTCTTCAGAATTGTATTGATGAATCGAACTAAGTATTTTTCACTGAATTCTATTTAGTAGAAGAAAGGAACTGGTGTGCTCAATTCCTATTTCATTTAGAAGCAATTACCTACTACTTCATACTTTTTCTCTTGGTTTGCAGGCCCTTAGTAAAGTTGTATCTTGAATTAAGCGCATTATATACTCCAAATAGATCAGAACCAACATTATGCCGAGTCTGCCCGCCAAATCTTATTAAAGCTGGGATGATGGATTCAGTTTGTGGTCCACTGGTTGCTGTTGGGAACACTCATGGTGATATTCAGGTAATATTTCATTCTCATTCTAGAAATTCGCTCACATTCTTGTTGTTATCTCCTTATAATGCCTTAGTATGACAGCTGCCACTTCGACATGATAGTTGAGCTTGTATTGCACAATGATACAGCGAACTATTTTGGTTGGAAATACTGTTCTTGAAAATCCGACCATGCTGAGATAGTATGTTGGATAGTGATAAGACTAACAGCAGTTACCATCACAGCGTTTTTGGCTTACACTGTGGTGGGGAGTCTGAGAGCAAAGGCGTACTGCTAGCAGGACGAGATATGACTATAGTAAGGCGTCTCCCACAGACGACCAGTATTCAGTTACCAAAGCTGTGGAATTTCGAGTCATAAATGTATGTTATTATTTTTTTTGAGGTGCAAAACAGGACCCAGGTGTGCTTATTCACGGGTCATCCACCTGTCCAATGTAGGGTCTGGAAAATTTACCTCGGATTTTTGGTCCGAGACAGTGAATTTAGGAGTTGCTTCTGGTTGAGTATGTACATATACTGGAATTGTGACTCATAACTTGGAGACTTTATTCTTATTAAAGCACACGTCCGTGCGCTTTCCGTTTACTTTTATTGTGTTCAGGAGGGTAGTGATTTTATTTCTGAGGCATAATCTGATTCATAGCCAATTACGTCTCTCTCTAAATGACTTTAGTTGCACTAATATATTTTTCATTAGTTATAAATGTGTACAGTATGATTTCATACATTTTAGGATCCACATTTCCTTATTCGTATCACTGCCGGTGATTTATTTTCGACTCAGAGTGGTAGCTAGCGTATGGAGCGGTGACTCATTGAATCCGGAACTCTCTTTTTCACCAGTTAGTTAGTGACTGGAAACCTACTTCACTTAACAGGTTTAGGTCAAACTGGCAGTATCATCACTCGCGAAAATATGATTCACTTCCTAGAATAGGCATGTGTCCATAGTTGTTGAATTATGTTTTTTTGAGTTGCTTTGATTGTTTTAGTAACTAATTAGAAACCATCGTTAATTGTCCTCTAGACTGTCAGACTATGAAGTGCAGCTTTTCATAGGATTAACACATGTAGTGCTAAACCAAGAGCGTTTTCACCTCTCGAGCTACTGGATGATGATGATGGTTCTGTGTGTTGATAGTCTCAACGTGTTCTTCTAGGGACGTGTTGGTGTGAAAAACGAAGTACAAAAGTATGTTGGAGAAAGCTAGCTTCGTAAAATTTCGACTTTTATGATATGGGTAACTCGTTTAAGTGTTCACTTATTTGAAGGCTTTGCATAAAATGTTTTCTATTTATGGTATTTGACTTTTTACAAACGTACTGATTCCTTTTTCCTTTTCATTTCAGTCACTCTAAATTTGGAAAGTTATTAATTACTTAGTTTTAAGGGATAATACGACTTCTATTGTTTATCCCTATCTTTTCATCGCGTGATCTCTTTGAAATAGTTTTGGAGTCATAGTAACAAGTCATTAAACAGCTATTAACGTTAGATAAATATGTGATACTATCGCAATATCACATTCTCCCACTCTCCTCTTTCACGGACTTACTTCTCTTTTATCATTCTCTACTTCTTTATAAATTTGTTTATATAGTCTGTCACTAGTACCTTGTTTATTCATTGATGTTGTGGTGATTATAATATCAGATATGACTGCAGGCTTCGCTAAATGTTACATTTTTTTTCTGTAGAAAGATTAAACAGAATGCAGTGTTAGGAAACATAATTTTCCTGTTTCTAGTTTTAGGACTTTTTTTCTGTAGGTTTAGGTACACATCTTTTGTATTTTTTCGGAAAGTTAGTTTTGTCAGACTGCTGTCTACGGTTAGTATTATCTGTCGAATTCTTCAACGTGAATAGTTCAAATTTGAAAGTGTTACATAGGCTTCTCCATTTCATATCGAGATTTTGTCGATCATCAAAGCTGATGCTGTTTTCCGAGTATATGAAGTTGTGAACGCACCGAACTACCTTATTCGTGATATAACGAGAACACGTAAGCGAGCAATGTTTTTTCCAGTTAGGTCTCTTCAAGCTCTACTCTAATTTACATAGCTTGCAAGCTTGACGTAACACCGAAGGAAAAAGACAGCGGATACACAATGGTTGAGTACGACTAAAGTAGGTATATGAAAAGGGTGCAAAAATGAAAAGGGAAGACTTCAAAAATTCGACGGTTTTATTTTATCCATCATTCTCACATTAGGCTTGTTTGCAAACCAGCTTTTAGGCGTCTTCATGCATTTAACAAACATAAAAGGCGTTCTGGATTTTTTCAGATGCTTATTCAAGGAACTGATGGTCAGTATCTAAAACGAAAACTAGCTCATCTATCTAATCTAGGTCGTTGTGCAGTTTTCGGAATGAGTGACTTCATGGACTACCCTATCAACTTCTGAAATAACTAATTAAGCTTCGTTATTTTATTGAAAAAAACTACAGTTTAATCCAAAATAGAGAAAACTAATTGGTTGTTTCAACGGTTGCTAGGGTTGCCTTTAAAGTCAGTCTTCGGAATTGAGTTATGAATTAAATTATCCGCACCTAGGATTCATTAGAACTAGTACTTCAAAATGACACAGGGAGAACAAATATCGTAACTGTAACACATACGTTTCAGACAGTCCCACCAGCTATTTTGCACAGGCCCAATCACAGCAATAAATACCTGCGTTTACGCTAACATGGTCGTAGCATCGCAGTTCATTAGTTACTAGCCCGTCCTAAGCCCGGCTAAAGAAGGAAGGTTGGGCGTAAGGCTAGCAACCCTACCCCGTAAAACCAATCCAACCGCTAAAGAAACTTCAAAGCACAAACAAAATATAAAAAATAATAACGAAATTATTCCTCGCTGGAATCGGAGAGGCGAAATGACGCCAGTCGGTGAAAGACTTCGGGAAGCAAATTGACCGATGTGTCTTCTCTCTCTCGATGGAAGCGAAAGTAAACGTGGGGACATGGAATGTCCACACTATGTTTGAACCTAGCAAGGCAGCCCAGATTGCAAACGAGATAAGAAGGTATTGCATTGAAGTGTTAGGAATTTGTGAAAGCAGATGGAATGGGAGTGGAGTCTCCAAACTGTCAACTGGAGAGTCAATAATCTACTCCGATATTGTCACCCAGACGACAACCACGAGTACACTGAGTTTTGGAGTGGCTATCATGATGTCCCCCTCCCAACAGCATCGAAGACTCTCATGTAGTGGGAACCAATCTCCTCCAGGATGATGACAGCAAGATTCAACTGAAAAGGAAGGAAAGTCACAATCGAACAATGCTACGCACCTACAAATAATGCAGATGAAGAGAAGGAGGAGGAATTCTACAGACAACTGCAATCAACACTGGAAAAGACCATGTCCCAGATGGTGACATCCAAATCCTAATGGGTGACGTGAATGCCGAACTAGGAGGGGACAACACAGGAAGAGAACTAACCATGGGTAGAGAAGCGCTCGGAGAGGTGATGAACGAGAATGGAGAATTGTTTGCAGAATTCTGTGCATTCAGCGATTTGGTGATTGGAGTCAGGCAGTGTGTTCAAGCACAAGGATATCCACAAAGCGAGCGACATGAATTTCACCAGACACCAGGACACACTAAAAATCAAATCGACTTTATCTCAATATGAAGAAAGTGGAGACGCAGCCTACTTGACACAAGGTCAAGAAGAGGAACAGATGTAGGTTCACACCACTCACTGTCTAATGCAGGGAACCTACCTTCCAAATCAAGTTGAAAGCCTTCAAGGAAGTTGGTGATAGACCACAGTTCGAGTTCAACACCCAGAACAGAAACTGAAGGACGAAAATTAAAAAAATCTTCACGTGAATCAGCCATCAAGACAAAATGGGAGATATGGAGGAACATCCCTGAACGAACACTGGAAGTCTTTGAAAGCTATGTGGAAAGAGACCTGCACAACCGTATTTGGAAGATGAGGAATGGATGTTGACTGACACATGGAAGCTGATAGAGTAGGGAGAGGAGGATGGTGAAGCAGAAGATAAACCAGTACAAGGATGCACAACGAGGGAGGAACTGGGTACAACGTATAAAACACTACACTGGACAAAGAAGTGAAGAAGAGTGTGCGAGAAGACAAAAGACACTTCCACGACACACTGGCAAGTGAAGCAGAACAGGCTGCAGGTAGGAGAGACACAGACCTGACAACATTGTATCAAATAACCAGGTTACTATCTGGTAGTGAAGAGGTCAACACAGTGCAGATGAAACCAATAAAAGATGATGACGGAAATCTAATTACCAAAGAGGAGAAACAAAGGAAACGATGGGCTGACCACTTCAAGAAGCTCTTGAATCGACCACCACCTGCACTTCGTCCAGAAATACCACCTGCAGCCCAGCCGCTGAACTGAACTACAAGTGAACACAAATCCGATGACGGCGAAAGTCGAAGTCCTGAACACCATAAAGCTTGTGAAGTGTGGGAAAGCAGTAGGACCAGATGAAATCCCACCAGAAGCACTGAAAACAGACGCAGAGACAACAGACAACAGCGGACATGCTCACACCACTACTGCAGAAGGTGTGGAAGGAAGTAAAGGTACCTGGAGATTGATTGGAAGAAGGACTAACTTGTCAAACTGCGAAGAAGGGAGACCTCAGTGTTTGCAAGAACTGGCGCGGAATCACGCTCCTGTCCACCCAAAGCAAGCAAAATATTAAGCCGCATCATCCTGGAGAGGCTTAAAAATGCACTGGATTCAAAACTACGACCGTAACAGGCTGGCTGACTGCCTTCAGGAAGTACAAATCATGTGCGAATCAAATTGCAACGCTTCGCATCATCATAGAACAGAGTATTGAATGACAGTCAATTCTCTACCTACCTCAACTTCATCGACTTTGAGAAGGCCTTTGACAGCGTCGACCGAGAAGTGGTTTGGAAACTGCTTCAATACTACGGAATACCGCAAACCTTTATAAGCCCCATATCAACAACTATATGAAGACGCCACATGCCAAGTAATTCACAACACAATGGAAAGCTCAGTGATGCTTTTGAAGTGAAGTGAAGACAGGAGTGAAACAAGGTTGCCTACTATCCCCCATGATATTCCTGATAGTGGTCGACTAGACTGGATCATGCAACAAACAGTGGGGAGCGAGAAGAGGGGGATATGCTGGCTGGACTGCGGAAAAGAACCTAGAAGATTTGGATTTCTCCAGTGATGACTTATGTCTAATGTCACACAAACTTGATGATCTACAGGCGAAAACTAACAAGTTGGCAGAAGAGGCCGGGCAGTGAAGACGGGATTTCAAGTGAATATAGAGAAGACAGAGGTGATGAAGATACCGCACCAACAACTCCAACAACAACAACAACAACAAGCTCCAATCAGGATAACTGGGAGAAACTTAAAGGAAGTAGCCTCTCTCACCTATCTAGGCAGCACTGTTTCAACTACAGGCGACACAGGCACAGACGAGGACGTGAAAGCCAGCCAGGATCGGAAAGACAACAAGACAGGTGTTCATTAGTCTGAAACCAGTGTGGAGATCTTCTGCACTCAGCAGAAAGTGAACAAGATCCAGATTTTCAACACCAACGACAGTCAAGTCAGTGATTCTGTATGGCTCAGAGACTTGGTGCGTTACGAAAGGGATTTCCAATAAACTACAGACATTCTTCAACAACTGCCTCCACTCACTCATTACTGAAGCTCAGATGGCCAGAATGATGGGAATAAGCAACAAGGGGCTGTGGGAACGAACCAACCAAGAACCTGTCGCTCAACAAATATGCACTGGAAGGAAGTGGAGATGGATTGGGCATACACTGAGAAGGCCGACTGGAGACATCACACGTCAGGCCAGTCACTGGAGTGGAACCCAGATGGGAGGCGATAAGTTGGGCGTGGGTATCCGAGGGTGACATGGAGGATATTGTGTTAGGCGGAAGTGAGAGCTTGTGGGCAGTCGTGGTGACAGGTTCAAACGATTGTAGAGAATAGAGTGGAATGGGGATGTGCTACTGAAGCCCTATGTTCCATTAGGAACCCAAGGGATAAATAATAAATAATAATAATAGTAGGATTATTAGTCAAGGTCTCATAGAGCGGCAGTGACCGGTGAGAATACCTTTCCACATGCAAGCGCTATTCACGGCTCCATTTAGATATTAACGTGTTTGTGTAAACTGTTACAGCTCATCACAGTCGCCAAATGAATGTGAGGGCAAACGCTTTCCAAGGCGTTTAAACCAAACAAGGTTACCTTTTATACTACTTGAAGTGACTATAGCTAACCATAATTGACGGCGTTAAGTTGTTCTCAAATCAGATAAAAGACCTCATGTGATTGATTAGTTTTGGACTCAGTTCGCTTGTTTTGCGACCTCAATACTTCGTAATCGCCACATTCGAACATCATCTTTAGGCCAAAGAGTGTGACTCCTTTGAAATATCAGTAAGCATATTCTCATCATATTAGGTGTATTCCACTTATTATTTAATCCCAGAGTAGTATATTACAAAAAATAACAAAGTAAACAAATATTTTGTAGTATTCCTTAACGTTTCGGTCTTACTAGAAAGATCCTTTACATGAGTATGAATCTAGCATTACTTTTGGGCGAATATAAAGGTTACCCGATAAACTGCTGAATTAGCCATCAGCTTTCGGTGCTTCGATCAGAAAGGTTGTTTTTCGTAAAATATAGAAGCCTAATTAGTTATCTCAGCAGTTGCTAGGATAGTGTTAGAAGTTGCTCTTCAGTTTTCAGGTTAATATTCAAGTTTTGGTACAGAAGGTGACCTTCATGGATTGTAGGTGAGTAAATTAGCACATCGGTCAGAGAGGCTTTTCCAGTTGTGCAAGTAAGGTGGAAGAAAAATACGGTGGGGAATTATAGTTCGACTCTGAAAAGTACAATTGAGTTGTGAGTCATTAGGAAGGAGAAAGAACAAATTACCATTTTGGAAAGATGAATATGTTCGGAATAAATCATGTAGAGCATTATGAAATGAAGTTGTGTTCTACCTGTGTATATTATTTGGAACTATATATGCGAGTCACTAATGTTTGCTATATTTGTGGGATGTTTAACCCATCTTTGCTGTTGACTGCAGAAAGGTACGAACAGATATGCGAAGCTTCTGTAATGGCCCTCTCTTTGTGAGAACGGAAACCCTTTTGCAACACTTGCTTTTTCGGGTGACATTTTATAGCCTGAATATAAGGCATGAACCGCAATGGTAGAGCTTTTTTTCAGATTATAGAGATTTTTCGGTCGTTGCTTGCAACTTCCATCATATGCGGTTAAACGTGGTAGTACTTGACGTGATGTCTCTCCAATGTATGTGGCATTGCAATCACCACAGTCTACCTTATAACCACAGTTCTGTTGTTCGAGATGGGGGATCAGGTCTTTTAATTTGCACAGGTGTGTGTAATATGTTCGTCACCTTAAAGAATACTCTGATGTTGTTACTGTTAAGGATGCGTCTTATTTCCTCTGATGTGGATATTCGGTGAGGAAGTGCTACAGTACTTATCCAATCTTTATGGCTTGGTGTCCGTTACCCATCTTTGTTCTGTTATTTCAGACGGGATTTTCGGTTACTGACGCAGGAGGCGCTTAGGAGGCAGTTAATCTCCTACTGCAAGTTTCAGATACTTATTCTGTACCCATCTGAGTTTTTGAACTACTGGAGTTGATCATCTTAAACAACTATCGATTTTTGTACGACATCAGTCCTTTGACCACTACGAATTACCACACTATTTTTGGTGCTCCTCTGCATTGTTGCATGAATTCAGCAATATTTTCAGAATATTCTTTGTTTAACTGTAGTTGATTTTTTTGGAAATTTACATTATTCCATCTCACTACATCCCCTTTTTGATTTCCTTTGGATACAGGGACGAAGATTGTCCATCTCTTTTTTGTTGTTGTTGATGAAATTGAAAGTTATTACCGATTCTCGAAGTACTTGGACTCAACATAATATTCTTTTGACTTGTTTACTCTTTTGTACATAAGGAAGTTTGTTCCGAGTTGGTTTTTTAAGGTCTCCAGTATAAACTGAGAGATTATTCGTGTCTATTTGTTTTAGGACTATTACTTTACTTGATTTGAAGTGCTTCTTACAACTATGTTGACTTATTCCAATCATACGTTTCCGTATAGATGTTGATTCTGTGTATTTTAACGATTTTGAGCATAGGTTGTCACTTAACTCAAATTATAGATCCAGAAAAATTCTATAATTGTCTTAGAGTTCACATGCTCTCAAGTCGTCACAGTCGAATGCGTGTACGCGGTTGTCGTATTGTATTGAAATTATGTGCAGTTGTTTACTTATCTATATCTTTGAATACTGGGTCTTTGAGTGTACACCGAAGTTTCAGAAAAATTATAATTAATACCATCTGTATACTTGTATTTTTTGTCAAGTTCTTAAGCTTGGTCTGACTTCTTTATATGATAGGGTTTTTGTATATCAGTAACGCCCTCAACTGGTAATAATCATGATAATAATAAACTATTTTAAGTCATTGCATTGCCTGTGAATAAATGTATATATTATTGTTTCTAGGTTTGGGATATGTCATCAAATTTATTGTGGCGTGAATATCGTGTCCTGTCAGTACCTATTAAGGGGATCGAATGGATAACAATACCTCGTACAGTTTACAAAAGTTATCCAAACAATGAAGATTCTTCAGTTTTACTTAAAAACGATTATTCATTAGGTTTAATTGTTTACGGTTGGCAATCAAAAGATGGTCATCCAAGTTCTCTCACTGAAAACACTTTAAACAAAACTACTACCATTGGGAGGAACTTTGTTATTACACTTGATTTATTGACAGGATATATGCGTGTGTTTCGGGATATTTCACGTGAAAAAATGAACAATTCGAGTTCTAGTGTAGGATCAGGCAGCCCCCTTGGTCAACTTTTATCTGGATCTAACAATCAAGAACGTCATTTGGAAGGACCTATTGATTTCCTTCGTGTCAGTCATTTAAGGTGAGGATTTCCGACTTCTACTTTGTAGTTACTCGTTCTTGAAGTGTAAACGTTTTCATTGTCAATGTGTTTCCGCTTTGATATATTCCACTAACAGAAATAATATAATTTCCACGTAATTTCATTGTCTTATAACGCAGATATTACTATCCAAAACTCTCGAGATAGAAATGTTATAGCATGCCTGAAATATATATCTGTTGTGTTCATCGTTCACTCAAAACTGACCCTGTTTCCTTTTCATGTGCCTTGTAAAGATAACAACTTCAGAAGTGGGGGCGGCCGGAAAGTACCTATCACTCTTACATTTTAGCAGCAACAGTGATATGCTACATCACGACTTGGAAGGTTTATTCTTAGGTATACTTTCAAGGTGCACTTCGGATTTGGTGGCGAAATTTACAGGTAGATAGATTTCTTGAAGATGGGATAGCCTCTAGGACTCCTTTGGCTGACTGTTTTATGGTAAAACTGGAAAACACGTCATCAGCAGCAGTCAATGGGGTTCATATCCATAAAAGATACATAGGTGACACATTATTCATGTTAGTGGAGTCGGGTCTCATTGGCTTAGTTATCAAACTTTCAAGAAATCTGTTCCGCGTTCGAATCCAATTCCGGCTTTCTCAATCTGAGCAGCTGAGTCATAAAACAGGCTTACCTTATAACTTAGTAGATGCTATGTACAGGGTCGAGCTACCTTGATTAGTTATTATTCGTGATGAGAATATGAACCTCAAAAAGCTACTTCAGACCTTCAGTAGTTCTCATAACTTTATTAACTTTACATTAGAAGCACAGTCGAACTCGAGGTTCCACTTATTTAGTTTTAAAGGAAAAATAGCAGTGCAGTCCAGAAATATATCTAGAAAAAAGCTTCTTGGCATAAACAGTTTGTTAATTTCCAAAGCTGGGTAACTTGAAGCATTCATTGTCCTTCAGAAACAGGAAAATGTGCTTAAAGAAAACCATTGATGAAAAAGTGGGAAACCTACAAAAGTTCTAGTGAGAAGTGAATTTTCATTGACACTTATAGATGAGAATTTAATACTCCTTGCTTATGTGAACGTGGAGAAGACAGAGGTGATGAAGATACCCAACCAACAACAACAACGAGCACCAATCACCATCAACGGGAGAAATCTAGTGAAAGTTGTCTCTTTCGAATACCTGTCTAGGCAGCATCGTTTCAGCTACAGGCGGCACAGATGAGGACGTCAAAGCCAGGATCAGAAAAGCAAGATAGGCCTTCATAAATCTGAAGTTAATGTGGAGATCTACTACACTGCAGTGCACTCAGCGTAAAGCGTGTACAAGATGCGGATTTTCTACACTAATGTCAATCAAGTCAGTGGTTCTATGTGATGATAGCTGCTGCCTACGCTCGCTCGATACTGAAGATGAGATTAGATGATCAGAATAATAAGAATGAGCAACAATGAATTCTGGCTGGCTGGGAACGAACCAGCGAAGCAAGAACTTATCGCTTGACAAATGTGCAGAAGAAATGTGGAGATGGACTGGATTGGGCATACATTGAGGAGACGGATTGGGGACATGACGTGCCAGTCCAGACCGTTGAGTGGAATCCACATGGGAAGTGACTATTTGGGCGTTCGAGGGTGAGATGGAGGAGATTGTGTGAGGAGGAAACGAAAGCTTGTGGGCAGTCGTGAAGCCAGGTTGAAGAAGAAGACTAGAGGGAAGAGAGTGAAGTGACGATGTGCTACTGAAGCCCCGTATGTTCCACTAGGAATGTAAGGGACAAATAATAATAATATAAAATAATTGCTCAGAGAAACATTTTATTGTTGAGCCTCGAATTCAAGTTAACATTACTGCAGACATTCTGAAAAAGTGATAATTAGGCAAAACAGTCTTCCTGCTCACTTCACAATTTTCTCTTGTCAGACACTTCTTCTCCAGTATTCGGAGGATGAGTTTAGCCATTGGGCCCACATAACTGTGTGTATATCAGTTAACATGCTGATGTGCAGCTGAGCTCATCAGTTGTACGATGCAGCGGCCTACAAAACGTGTTCATGAACACTAGCCAAGTTTATCGGCAAAAAGAGAAGAGAACTGCATTTTCAGCTCTGTAGCAGTGTATCTAGTTAGCTCTTAATACTGCGCTATCTTGAAAGTCTTTCAGAAAAATTGTTTACAGTGCGATTAATCCATCCGAGGATAGTAAAGTTACAACAACTGGTCATAGCTGAAGCATCAAGAATTCAGAAGTTAAAGCCGCTATGCGTTAAAACGAAGTAAGTCCAACCATTTTTTTGTCGCACCCATCTTGAAGTATAAATCACTTTAGATATTTCTCATATAAATCGTATTTCACTTTTCTAGTCTTTCGCTTATTTTTATATCCCGCCTCCCACTCTGTATTACGTAACTTCTCTTTTATCATCTAGTATATTTTGATCTTTGACTAGGAATTATTATGCAAAATTTTATCCTCACTAAATATTAACGAACGGTGCTGTTAAGAGAATGAGGTGGAAAATGGATAAAAGAAGCGGAAGACGTGTGGCATAACTTATGGTCGCCTATACTCATTATCAGATTCGTAAATCACAAAAAGCTGTTAATAACCAAAAGAGAGCTAGAAGAAATGCTTACAACCGAACAATTTACAAAGTTGTCAACTATAGTCGAAAAACCAAATCGATAGCAAAAAGAGCAAGGAAAAAGCACTTCCAAAGAGAAGCTAGGGGAAATGTCAAAACCACCAGCATCGCAAGAGTATGAAGCAAATGGCTGTAATCAACTTGTCCAAACAACTTCTGACCAAACCTGTAGAACTCTTTCTTCAGAAAGGACTTCACTGCAATACTGGAGACACTTCGAGATCAGAATTATTTGCTACCTCAGAGTCATTACTGAATAAGTCAGGACTGAATAATGAGATCCAACTAAAAATACGACAAATAATTGTGCCTCTAACTCTATGGGGGAATATTTTTACTAAGCGTACCAATGGATATATGAGAGGTCTTTAGAGACTGAAGAACAAAAAGAACATGGTTGTAGTTCTGGCAGATAAAGGGTACACCACAGTGGTCATGGCAGATTTTCTCATAGATCTCAATATGAACAAACTGATTGAGACAGACCCTATTCAAAAGGTCGATACCCAGATCACAAAGAGCTTTAACAAGCTTATCAAAGCAGGGCAAATTACAAAGTAAAACCAACGGTGAATGAAATCGTATGGACTTGTGCTTCCATGTGTCTATATTAGACTGGAAATACACAAGCAGTGGACCCCTGTTTTACTAACTGTTGTACTACCAGAGACTCTAACACACAGTTCATCAACAAAAATCTTGATAAAACTGAGACATTTTGTAGAATCGTACAACCACTCTGTTAACTTTCTGAAATGAGTTTTAAGAAGACTTAGGATATTCATATTGACAACGAGCAACCGATGGTGTTACTCAATGTCATAGCTGTATAAACCTCAGTTGAACTGAAAATGAGCAAGAATACAGTGACTCCTCTAACCAATGAACTACAAATATTCTTCACCATCTTGAGATTTTACGGAGTTTGGAATTTTCCATTTAACGCTATAAAATGTTTTGCCAGGCTAGTATGGAAATGTGCTAGTATTGATTTTAAAGTTGGTTTTAGTAGTTTTACCAAAGACTAAAGTAGTAGTCATCTTCCTCATGTATTATTTCACTCACCGTAGATGGGATTGCTCATTGTATTGCATAGACGTGTCTTGATTTCAGATTTAAGCAGTTTCTTTACGATTACTTTTTCGCACTTCATTGCTTCCAGTCAATATGTTGGCATAATTGCTCGGAAAAGCCCTTTGGAAATATGGAAGGTATGCAGTTCTTCTTTGTTAATGAAATTAGCTCTGTCACCAGATGTGACAGCTGTCGCTTTGGTAGGTTGATATAAATAATTTTAATTTCGTAGTGTTTTGATCACTCTTATTAGCCTTTGAATAGAAAAAAATTGCCTTGTTCATTGACTTGCTATACACTTTTTCTGCATTGTTATGATATGCAACAGTCTATTTTTTATACGAATATCCTGTGATTAGATTTTGGGTTGGATTTTTATAGTTTTCTGGCTTTTCAGATAGGAGCTTTCCAAGGTGCTTTGTTGTATTCGGGAACGATTTTAAAATTTTCAAGTTTGGCAGCCGATTTTGTACACAGCTTATTGAAGTAATTGTGTTATGACTGAAGGTGAAATGAAAGTCTGTTTCACTGTGGAGTAGGAACAGTCATACCTTTTTTTTAATATGAATACCGGTCTGCCAAACTGTAGCTATTTTAAATAGTCTCACCAACAATCAATCAATTCCTCCTCCTCTCAAATTCGTCTTAACTTTGATTAGATCCAGAGGACCTAGTTTGACAGTTATCTCGATGTTGATGATTGAAAAATCACGCATCACTCACTCGCATGACAGCCGGGCAAACCCTCCTTAGGTGAAGTGAAGGTGAGATCTGGTCAAAAGCCAGGTTTCTTGGCACAGTAGGTATAATGCAGTGCTCGTAGCCTAAAAGCCGATGATTTGATTTCTTCCGCAAATCAGGTTTTCGTTTCATTTTCATTCATTGTACCGTTACATGAATAGGATTCATATAGCTTTAAGACACCTAATATCACAAATATCTCAGTCTAATTTTTGGTAGAAAAGCGAATTAATGTAGAACCTTGCACAGAAATGTATCATTTCAAGCTACCACACCTTAAAACAGCATAGAAAAATCAATTGTGTCGAAAAGGGATGCTATTCAGGTAAACAAAATGTATGAAACGATATAACGGAGCGTCTTCGCTCTGTTAGCAAAAGGTTAAGTATGAGTCAGCAAGTCATAAATAACTTAGCAAACGAAACCATGGAATTATGTCTTGGATCATGAATATTGAGCTACAGAAGTGTATCTTAGCAGAGTTTCCACTTAGAGAATATCACAAAAATTGAGATATCGGTGTACTTTTCAAAAAATTAAATCAGGTAGCAAGCTGTGCATAGAATATATAAGATTGTGTAGCGTCATATTTTGAAGTAATTGACTGAATATGCAAATTTCACAAAGGAAATTTCATTATTCATTTCCTCTATATTATTTATGTGTGAGAGCTTGTTTAACTTGAAGTTTTTTTCATGCTGATTTGATATCATTTCATGGATTCAGATCAGTTGATAAAACTTGTCAGACAGACAGACAAATTCAACGTTGAACGTTGCATACAATTGCATTGGCTCAAGTTGTCACATTTCGCAGTTGTATACAAAGAACAGGTGAATAAGAAAAGAGTGACACCAAAGTAGACAAAGTTGTATGAGAGAATAAACAGTCTGAAGATTACTGTTAGTGTAAATATTCAAGCTTTAGAAGATATCAAGGTGTGAATACATCTGCTCCACTGTAACCGATTTTCAGCCATGTAAGCAAGTGTCCATAACCACTGGTTCCTTTCGTTTTAGGGACCCCAGCGAGACAGCCTATACCTCCCCACACGACTAAGACCGAGAGTCAGCGACTTAATCGACTGGTTCTGCGTCTTGATTTGGCCAACCTTAAATATCTTTGGGGTTCGTGTATTTGGTTAAAACTGAAATTCAGTGTGTATTACTGGTTTTCGTCTCGTAAAGTAATTCGCGTTTAGTTAAGTTTTTATCGTCACAGGTGGCAAGTTAGTCTTGACTGAGTATTTTATACTGTAACTATTTCGGCATCACGGTTAAGTGTATGAAAAGTCACTCAAACATGCATACCAAACGTTGTTTACTAGTCAGTTGATTAGATATAGGTGATCTCGGTAGTTTGACTCTTTGAATCCAACTCCTTAAAATGATACTCGAATGAACGAGACAACCATCAAGTAACCGGATCATTCTGATATGGCTAGCAAACTGTTGTGGATATCATAACCGGTGTCTTATTTCTAGTTTTTCCAGTAGTGTATTGTGCCACCAGTATTTCATTTCATATTCCGTGCATATTTGTAAGTTTGTTAAGTTACGTGTAGAAATTTACTTAGCGTAAATTGATTATTTTGTGAAAATGACGTCTCATGAACTGTTGGTAAATAAATTTATGTAGGCTATGTGATGTGTGTACGAGTAAGATTTTTTAGATCTGCATATTGTGTTCTAAGTATGTTGCAATATTTCTTCTTAATAGTAAAATGGCTTACTTGTAATATGCACTGAAGAACTACCAGTGTTATTAAACCAATTATTTCTTAGGTGATTCATGTGTAGTTAAGAGTGGTTTTTCCACGGTCAACTAACTCTCACTAAGTTGTGGTCAACTAGTTTAAATTAGGGTTATGGTTTTCTAGATCATCTGGATTTGAGATGCTGCATTCTAGCAGTGGTTTACTCATATAAATGTCGCTCCATCTACCAGAATTCGGAGAGCCTGATAGTGTTACACTCTTCAAACAATGTGATTCGTCGCACAGTGCAAGAATCGTTAGCTGCTTGTTGAGTTGTATGTCTTTTCGCGACCTAATGATGGTCGAAGGTTATGGTCAGTATCAGTAAAAAAATAAGTCAATATTTTTCACTGTGGAATTATCCGGAGAAAGTGAAATTACGTGGATCTCAGTACTGCTGGATGAAATTCTTGGTTGATCCTCACTGAATTATCACTCTATTTTCAATAACTTCATCTGAATGATAACTGAGCTTAGGATTTTGAACTTGGTTACCCACTGTGATACCTGTTTGGTACACATGATGTTTCTGAACTATAACTCAGTAGCCGAACCATTCAGCCATCACAACTTCAAGTAAGCTGCACATTCTTTGCTTTTGTTCATCGGCTAGTATTTTCGGTCTTCGTATCAAATTTTTAGTCTACAGCTTGAATACGTAGAGTTGACTAGTTTTTATATTTTTGTTGCATAATGTGTTGTAAGAATACTCGAGGCCTCTTTGTTTTCCTAATTTGCATAGGATTGGTGTCATTCTGCTAGTAAACAGCGAAGTCGGGGAGATCCGCGTAATAATCCCAAGTAAGTTTGTAACTCCTGTTATATGGAGTTAATTTGTCATTTTATCAGGATTTTTATTTCTTGAGAAGAAAGCTATGATTCGTTAACTTACGCACTCGAATTTTAAGCAGTGGGGTACGTGTTTGAATTCTACTCCATCTACTTCTGCTTGGACAACCAAAAAATATTGTCATGGTTTTCCTTACAAAATACTTGGCTGGTAACTTAGTGGACAAACCTGTTTGAGTTCCATTACGATATTTCATGTGTATTCCTTCGGGTAAATGCGGCTCATATTTAGATACATTGCATTCATTACACTTTTATTTCAGTAACGAATATACACCATGATTAACTAGCAAGTGGTTTTTCATGGTTGATAAGTAAAGCATATTTAGGTTGTGTGGTAGATTAATACCTATTTGTATTGAAGATTTCAAGGTAGTGAATATCTAGGAATGACCTAGATTTCTTGTCTCTTGGATCTCTGTAAAAACATATTTATATTTTCAAGTTAATTTTCTGCTTCAACAATGCTTGAATGCTTCTGATCACTTACTGTTTTCTATCATCGACTTTAAATTAACACTGTTTGATTTTTTTCACTTCCGGATCACGTCGTTTGAGCATAATTTTATAGTCTCAGAAAAGTGAGTGACTGTTGTAAGTGTGTCAGTTGTACTTAATGATTCTGTTGTACAGGGATATTAGTACCCACTTTTAATGATCTGGTGTTTGATATGTATGATTGTGTGTATGTAACGTAGCTTTGAAGTACAGTACTCATCCAAATTTCCCTCCATCTTGTTCATCAGATAGTCTCAATACCCACAACTTCTGTGTACGAATTTTCGGTTACTGATTCGCTATTAAGTCATGTATATTGATTTTAAAAGTTTACTGTCTATTGTTTATTTTGTTTCCATAATTTACCTAGAGCAGAGTTTGGGTATTTCATTTCTTTCATTAGGTTGGAAGATTATGTTCATTCAAAGGAATCATCCCGTATGCGTGAATCGTGCATTATGTGCACTTCTGATGGTAATATTCGCCTGATTGCAGTGAATAAAGATTCAGTGGATAGTACATCTGTTTCAAATACAATGTAAGTATATCATGAACGATATACGATATAAGTCGTATTTATACAAACCTCAGAGTATTTGAAATAATTCCCTGGCTATCAGTAGTCCAAGTTGACACAACTATTACCAGAACATCAAGGGAGAAGGAACTAAAATGAAAGATAGAGAAATGGAAATAAGCAAAAAAGAGTTAAAAGCTGTAGGAAGTCGTAAAAAAGGAAAAGTAAGAATGAGGCAATAATGAAATTTGGCATGATGATTAAGATGAAGATAATGTGTGGATACGTATGCACCACTTATATCGCCCAGTCTCCAAACATAAATTTCAGTTGTCATGTGGACTCCAAATAGGAAGTCAATATTTCCCGACAATGCCCAAACCACCAGTTAGAAACTTTATGAACTAATGCCATCTTTTGTCTAACCGTCTGTAACCTTTTTAACCTAAACCTATTACTATTACAGCTAACAATTTGCTTCAGGCTAGACAGTAACAAGGCCTGCGTAGCTCTTATCCCAACCAGAGGAGTTGATAAAGGTTCACAACTTCATCAACTAACTGTCCTTTTCTGCTCCTAACTCAATACCACGACACAGTCTATGCTACGAAGGCGACAGTGGTCGAACACCTGAAGCCTTCTACTGTCCTCTACCTATAATGGTCATGTTTTGCAGAAATACAGCAGAACAAAACGATCTGCAGCTCAGCACAATCCACCCTTAGTGGATAATTAAGTGTCACGGTGGCGCCACAGATAGCGCAAGCTGGCGAAAACCTACCTAGCCTTTTTTATTCCCGTGCAGAGATTTCGTCAGTCACTGACCTACCAGTGGTCGTCGGACTTTCCAGGTAAATGAAATGGTCAACATGCTCAGTCATTTCACTCCCTATTGTTGGGCACTACATCATTGAATACCTGTCCTGTAGCAGCATTTCACATTTGGGTAGTAAGAAATGTATCCCAAGGTTTCTGAAATTGCTGCTGAAGGTGTCCGGAAGACTCTAAATCTTGTCAGCATCTTCACCTAACGGGACTATCTCCTGCCTACTCTAGATCTACTAAGGATTTTCTATTACTTTTTGGTTTTCATAGTACTGAATTTATATGAGATATATCAAGAAAGATTTCATTGCTAACGAAAAGAATTGAATATGTGTTGAATCATGAATCTAATTACTAGGATATTATCAAATGGTTATCATTTAGTTTGATGAAAAGGTGGGTAAGCAATGCAGACTATTATTTCATTGGTCTAGTACTACAAATATCATTCGAAGTCCTGATACTTTCAGAAACGTGGAAAAGACGATCCTATTTTGTATTCAGATCAAGAGAAACACAGATTAGGTAGCATAATCTAAATAACAAGTTGCTGAAATCATCCTTGGAAAATGATTTTTTTGTTTCGCATCATCAGAAGCTGTATTTCATATCAGCGTTGATAGTAGTCAAAATATGGAAGATGATATTCTAATGAACAAGTTGATATTAGCGTCGATTATTTTTTATCTTACGGGTAACTTTCAAATACGTTAGAGTAAATCACGAAATCTTATCATATTTTAAGTGAAAGTAACATTTTAAGAACATCAGAGCATCATGGTTTATTAACGAAGCTCTTTCTTCGTCTATTACGTGCAGACAAATAGTACTGCTTATCTTTTTAGATAAGTGGAAGAGGATTCATATTTATTATTCCATACTTAATAGTTGGAAACAACTATCAAGATCAAGTATGACACAGTTTGCACGGTTATTTATTAGGATTTTGTTATTTTAGCTTCGTATATTACCGTTAAACTTTAGAGCCAATTCCATATCTTTGAGAGACAGAAAAAATCATAGTTATTTTAGCTAAGTATTTGAGGTAATTCTGCTGAAGTTCATAAACATACTAAGTGAAGCCGACTCCAGTTATCTTTAAGAAAAAACAGTACTTTCTCGTCTCATGTCACGATATGAGGTGTAGCAGCTTAGATCACTACGCAGTCATGCCTGATCCTATGCTGATTTCGTCTATTCGCCTAAGGTAAAGTAGACTAATATTCATTTTATTCATTTCCGACAGTTTCTGAAATTTAATTGTAAATATGATTTTCTTTCCTAAACATCTGATATTCTCTTCAATTGCGGTACAATGAAAACCGATAGTTGATTGTTTTATTATGATAGCGAATTGTGTTTTCATATGGCTTACGATATTACAACTCCTCTAGTAATTAGTTACACATTTTCTCCGGTCTTCATTTTCCGAAATTTAGTTTGAACGGTCTACCGGCTGTCAGTTTGAATCGTATTAATGCTGTCGCTTGGTTTTGTGATTTGGTGGCTTTTGGTACTTGTGATGGTTTTGTAGCTGTTCGGGATTTACAGAACAAGAGAACTTTGTTGAGAACAACTTGTTCGCAATCAAATTACTTAAATCAAGCTATTGGGACTTTAAATGAACAATATTTCGATCCTGATATGTTGGATACAAACTCTTTCGTTGTACTTCCTTCAGTGGGTATTCGACGTTTGCGCTTTGTACCGGGTTCGTCTTCCTTAACTCGTCTACTTAGTTTACAATTTGATTCTGTATGTGTATGGGAACCAAGACAGGTTAGTAAAATGAGCGATTTTCGAATTTATGATGTCTGTATTCATCTTCCACTTGAAACCACTACTCACTGCTTTCTTTTTCATCTTAATAAATAGACCGAAATAACTACAACTTTTTCGTTACGGTGCAAAATGGGTTATACACACGTTTTATAACCTATTGTTGAGACAGGAGTAAAAGATGTATAAGAAGAGTTTCTGGGACTACTTGAACTAGATAAAAGGTTTTGGTCTTTAAATATTATTTTGTTGTTCGTTGCTAAGTTCGGACACCTAAGCAAGGGGGGACTTCAAATGCATGGCGAATGTCACTTGGGGATGGTTATGAACATTACTGAGAATCATACTTATTAGCACTTTTATATCCGGTTTTGAACTGTACTTTTTCAAATGTAATCCCCCATCCTTTTGGATGCTAATATATACATTATTGTCTTTATTTTCTGCATTCAAATATAAACGTGCGAGGCGATGTAGGTGTTTACTGGTTTATTTTACAGCTGATCTGAACAGAAGATGACTATTAGATGAGGGTCGGTGACTTGCATAAACTTTCTCATACTGAATTATGATATATACTGAATATTTTAGGGTTAACGGTCAGAAGATCAAAGTTTCTCTAGCGTAATTACCCTCTGTGACTCACAGCTCTGAAAGGGTTTATTAAAAAGACTAAGCTAAAGAAAGTAACAGGATGTTACAGTACTTCTTTAATGAAGTCTTTAATGATCAATATACGAGAAGTGATTTGTTGTATAAATATCAGTTCAATTTAAGATACCTACGAACCATTTCGATTTTGTTTGTATGACTTCCAGACAGTGGTTGAATAAATCTTACTACTCATGTATCAGGTTCACACAATTTTACTACTACAGTTTGTACCTGTATTAATTAATTCAGTGAAGGTGGAATAACACAAAGAATTGCCTTATCTGAGTAAATTGTATTATTGGTGTTATCAGATGAAATATCATAGATTTTAGACACATGTCAAGTTTCACTGGTTAATCTGTACTGAAGTTAAATTTTTAGAAACTTTAGGTAGTATAGTAATGATGGGCAAGCAACAACACTTTGGGTAGTATGTTGGAAACTCTGGATGATATGGCTTAAAATCGATTTCAGTAGCGCAGATGCATCTCTATCTTAATTACCATGTCATGTTTCGTTATTGTTTAACCCCTTCTGTCTAATGGTATTCTGTCACCTTGATTACATTTTTCTTCCAATTTTTCCATCTGCTATCTTGATGTGCTGATATGCGATGGGGCCACCTGAACAGTTGCACAGAAATACCAGGTAATACGTTGATGATGACTGGGTGAAGTTAAATGAACTGTGACTGTACTGCTCAGCTCTACAGTTTACTCATATAGTATTGATTGCATTGTCGTTTTGATATGAGTTTTTGTAGTATCATGTATTGTAACCTTACATACAAATGCTTAACAGTTTTCTCAGCTTATTATTGGTGTCTGAGTTATCGAACTTAATTCCGTAATATTTTCATCCATTTGGATTATTGCAATGTAATTTGAAATCATAACTCACCAGTTTCATCATTTCATTCCGTATGTTGTCACCTCTGTTGTGTATTCTGACCATTTTATCCAGTTGTTTTAACAGACGTAATATGGTCTTGAGTCTGCTGTCTGATGGTTGAAGGTAGTTGATAATAATAATAATGTCTATTCCACTGATTGCTAGCCTATATATTGCATGAGGGTTAAGTGATGTATGGGCTTTTAAATCCTTTTTTCTTAATTGTTGTAATTATGGTAACTTTTTGTATTTTTGTGCTCTTTTTTTTATAGATGTTACTTTTGTGTATGATTGAGTTCACTGGATCGGTTCATCATACTTTGATTAGTGCCGATTGGGTTTCCACTGTTTCAAAACCTTCTGACAGAGCTTTATGTGTTCTGCTAAGTAGAGATGGAGCTTTACGGCTTGTACAGGCTGGGCAAGCCAATTATGAAATGACAGTTGTTGATTACTTCAATGAGTCGGGGAATCCGGGAAGTTCAGGTGCTCGAGGAATCACTTTAAACAATCCAGTCTCTAAATTCTACATCAAAAGCTCATTACCAGATAGGCCTGAAATGCAAGGTATCAGTTGACTTGTTTGTTTATGCTTACTTTTAATAAATGCTTTTCCTAGCATTTGTGTAGTACAAAAAATACTTTGATTGCATACAAATGTATGATGAAATAGCAGTCAGCGAGTTAGTGTAGGTCTAAGTGAATCAATATAAGTTCTTATAATAATATATTGGAACTCATATTAACAATACTAGTTAAGGTTAATTAAAAATAGCTACTTTATTATTAAAACAGGTGTTTTTTGTGTTCGTAAGATTCTAGCAATATACTATCATTTTCCAATTATGCATAAAGCATATCTTTTACTATTTGACATTTACTATGTTCTTGAAATGTAGTATGGTTAAATTTCAAGCATTTACTTTGGGAAGATGTTTTGTGTGTACTTTACCACTCTTGAACTGAACTCATTCAGCAACAGTTTATACGAAATCGGCAACCGGAAAAGGCAACATAAAAGTTGTTAGCGTATCTGCTCGTGTTTTTATCGAATAAAAATCAGGATGAATGATTTATAATAATAATAATGCTGTTAGTGGTATGAAGACTTAGGACAGATACTAAAACGTAAGGAAGGTAGAATTGAAATTACTTTAATCACTTAAAAGTAAGCGCATATCACGTGAGAATATTTTGAACAAATTGACAATTCTTAGTTGAACATTTTGTGCACACCATTCTAAATCGTTTCAGTGGATGTGTGGGATGATATCGCACATAGATATTATTGTTAGCATTTGATTCAAAGCACAAAACTTTGGTCTAATGGTTTTTCAATACCAGATACAAAGGAATAAGTATAATGTTGTCAATAAAAACTAGGCAGATAAAGAAATATGAACCTACAATGTAATTAATTAATGTTTTCATGAGTCCATCTTATGGTTTGTATAGGTTGGAAAAGAAAACTACAGCGACACCACCAATGATTTAGACTTTTGCGTGTATCATATACCGTTTGGAGTCACTCCTATATAAGATTCTCCAGGATTTAAACCGGCGACTAGTAATGCATCAACGTATACTAGCATATTCACATTTTTAATCCCACGATCTTTGATAGCAATAATGATGATAATGATAATAATAGTAATTTTTGCCTCCTACAATCTCAGCGTTTGCAAGTGAGGCTACGCATGAAGACCACCTAGTTAGTACATGAATCTGTATGACAACTAATGTGTATTTATTGTTGTAATTTTTCGAAGAAATATCATTGTTCTTGCTTATAAATCAATTATTTTATAATTCATTATTATCTCTTAGATCCTGTTTTGGTTCCATCTCTACTTCCACCTGTAACTGCTTTGAATATTCGACATCTTCTGCAAAATAAACCATGGTGCAAAAAGCCCCAAACGGTTTCTACAACTAAGGATACTGATTCACTAATCGACTTCACTTCCGAATGCCAATCAGAGATTCCTACTCTGGGGTCCTCAAAAATTGATTTAGTCAGTCAGTCCGAAGTAGTTGCTCAACACTCTCACACCGATGATTCATCAAACGCTAACTTTGACTCTCCAAACTGTTCTGTACTTGCTCCAGGTTTCGCCAAAATCCAGAATGCTGTAAATATTTTTTTATGTGGCTTAAAAACAAGGTAAGCAAACGCAGTTGTTTTTAAATATTAATTACAAACTGTTGGTAATAGTACTCTTGTTGATGTTCGAATTGTAATCGGAAATGATTGAAGGAGTTTGTTATTTGCATTATCTTTGACCATTTTATGATCGACAACATTCAGCCAATTTTGCTATGGAGCAAATATTTACTGGGTCATCAGGTAACACGAATGTAGATGCAATTTAACTTTATTTTTTGCAACGTGGCTATTGTGAGCTGTCGTTAAAGGTAAACGACTAATTCGAAGTATTTATTCTTCAGGCATTTCAGTACTACTGGGTGAATGGCTTCAAGATTTTGTACATACTTTTGTTAGTGAAGGTGAATCAGGCAATGAGGCTTTGAACCTACACTAGCTAATTTTGCAAAGATACATTTTGTTTATGACCAGTCACTGTCTTCACTAGTGTGTTATATTAGGTGGAATAATAATATAACTGTAAAAAGTTTCAGCAAGGTTGAGGTTTTGGTGTTAGTTGTGTAGGCGAACTGTGGTTTTTATTAAACGTTAATAAATGTATTGATTGGTAGTGAGGAGTCTTAGATTGAATGTTTCAAAATTGATGACTTTACTTCAGGTGTTCCCGCTGGGTATCTGATATTTCTATAGATTCCAAATACCTTACTGTTCATTTATTTCCCGTTCTCTTATTTTTTTTTCTCGGTTCATTTTGACAATGTGTTGTTTGTCTTCTCTTGATATGATTCTTTGAGTTTTTATCATTTGGAGCTATGGATTATTGTGACACGCTTAATGTCCTGGTTATATTGTGTTTTTGACTTTTGTATGATGTTCATGCTTAGTGTGTCGCTAAACAAAACCTTGAGTTCTTTAGACATGACTAGTATGATGATGGACAATCATGTCGTTTTTATGAAGGTAGTTGATAACTTTCATCATCATCCATCAACATAGGACCAGGCATTACTGCGTAACGGTCCGAATTGCCATAGCTCATATCAGTACATCAAGTAAAAAGGCAGTGAAATGGAAGATGAAGAAAAGAAAACTTTATGGGATAGTATATCATATGCTATACCTACGGTTCAATATTATTATTATTATTATTATTTTAATAGCAACACATGTTCTAGCAGAGTAAGCCAACTGTACACCGTTTACTTCGATTCGTTTCAGTTTAACTACAGACCATGTGCATGTAGAATAATCTAAAATTTCACTCTGTCATGACTAAAATATACGCTAAGAGGTGTAATGGCTTTTTTTCTCAATTTCTATGATGAATCATATGTATAGTGACATTTTATGCTTCCGATTCTGTTAAATGAATTATGATATAGTGTTTTTAATTGATTGAATTCCACTTCACTGTTCATATCGAGTAGGAGTGTACAATTTTGAAGTTAGGTATTCGCTAATTGACTGACAAATTGATCAACATATAATGAATCAACGTTTTATTATTACTTTATTGACTTTTAAGTTGTTTATTCAAGAATGTGATTTGATGTATTGTCTTTCCTTTTATATAATTGATAGTAACCGTTAGGGTTTTTAATTCATATCCCGTGCTTGTTGAGATTCATCGGTAAATTATATTACCTAGATTTATGGTTAAATTTATTTCGTCATTGGATATGCTGCAGTAATACTGAGGTATAGACTATCTACTGAAAACTAGTTTTTGGGCTTTATCTAGTTCTGGAATGATTCGATTGCCAATTGTGTGTTGACAGTAACATCACTTCATACGTTGCTAAACAAAACGAACCTGAATCTCAATAAGAAAACTATCTTCTTCAGCTTCCATATATCAATAAGCGCCCATAAGTGGGAACTCTAAGTCCTACACGTCTTCACAGCTATATTCGCAGTATTTTAAATGAAAAACTTCGGCATTATTTGTGTATAGATTCTAAAAAAAAATACGAGATCCGTTTTATCTACGAAATATAAATTTACGTCTCTCATCTATTTATCTAGGTAGCTGATTTTATGTTAGGGAATTCAGGATTAAGAATCTAGACATAGGTTGCAGTGGAGTTGAAATTCACTCATGGCTATTGCTTAGTGGGACGTTTCTTGTTTGGTCATTATCGTTCGTTTGGTTTTGTTTTGTTGAATACAGTAGAAAAATTCTCAAGCTGAGGGTTTTTTGTGTATCGTTCAAAACTATTTACCACTAAGCATCTGTCTTTATTATTTAAAATATTTATCTTACGGTTGCTACTTTGTTCACATACATTTCAGACATGAACTATGTGCCAGTTTTATGGATTCATCAACTACCATTGTTGAACGTTGTTTATGGACTGCTCAACTGTTTGGTGATGTATATGAAGTGAAATTTTGGAGATTGGTTGCTAATCGTTTATTGTATAAAAGAGCTAATAATATTTCTCATTCGTCGGAAGATAAACAGTTGTGGTCCCGTTACTTTTTAGATTTATCTTGGGACTTTTTAGCTGATTGTGAACTGTATCGTCAGAATGTTGAAAAGTGTATGTCATTTGTAGAAAAATTGCATATTTCACCAACAGAAACTATGAATTGTGTTGACACACTTCTAATGCTTGGTGAGTTGTGCATTCTGCTTTTATTGTAATTGTTGTCAGTCTTTTTGCCTGTAGATAACTAATCATTTATTATGTATCCCAGAGGTTCTAAATAAAATGTTTATTTTTTGTAATTTTTCATACTATAATGCTCATTTTCCTTCAAGAAAATCGGAGTTAAAAATGACAACTGAGTAAACCGCTTGCTATGGGCTTTCTTCCTGTGTGAAGTTAACAACAAAGTGGGCCATAAGCAGCTCTAAGATTGTTGATTAATGTAGACATCTTTTAATTAATCATCACTTTGAATGACACAAATGTATATTAGGAAAGTGCTTAAGACTGTCCAAGACTGAAATTTACTGGCCCATTTAAATTTATAGATGATTGTATTTAAACTAAAAACTCGGTTCTGCTGGGGGCACTAAATAGATAGCACATAGATGTTGATCAAGAAATATTGCTATTATTAGTATTCTCAGTTCTGAAACGAATTTGGTTACGACACATCAATCGTTTTCTGATTTATTCTTCATGTCTTAGGTCAACCTGAGCGAGCAGTTTCTTTGTTACTAGAAACTCCAGCTGATTCAAGTCTGTATTCTTTAAATATGTTCCGTGCTTGTTTACTTGCTGCAAATGCCACTAGAAAATCTTATCTGTCAGGACCTAGTATGGATCAGTCGGTAGAGGATACTTATTTGAGCACAGTGAAATTGGTTGCCACAAACTTACTCTCCAGTGGGAAAGTCAGTGATGGTATCGGATTATTATGCCTTATTGGTCTGCAAATTGATGCATGTCGTTATTTAGAGTCATTTCAGCAATGGGACCGTGCTATTTGGTTAGCCAAGGTAAAGAATTCTTTTATCATAATATTTCCTGAATACTTTATTCATAGAATTAACACTGTTTTCTTTACGACTAAGAGTTTTCATTTTTTGATATAAATTGGCAAATAAAAACTGTTTTCATCAAATGATTGATCACGTTACTGTGTGCACATGTGTATATCAGTAACTTTTTACTTGAAAATTCTTTATGTCATGGCAGGTAGATAGATGAAAAAGGCATAAAACATGGGGTAATGGGACTGTCCACCACATTTTTTGTTAGTAGATCGAATGAGGAGTTAACGAAAGGAGAGACAGGATAGTGATAATAATGTCAGAAATCGTAAAACAATGTGAGATGGGGGAGATGAAGTGATCAAAAAATACGATTTTAGAGGCTTAGGTATGGAATGGTTTGCAGTGTCTACACATTGGTTGCATCCCACGGTAGTTAAAATTTGTCCAACTACCCAAGCTTCCGCTTTTTCAGAAGAGAATGTCTGTAGGATCACAGAATCAAATATTGAATCTTCCAGTAGATACATCTCAAAGTTAAAGTCTGTGTTAACTACTTTTGATAGTTAACTCAGTGACCTAAATATTATTCACTGGATTAAATTTATTAACTTCATCCAGGAACTTCAATCTGAGACTTTAAAAAAATTATGAAAATGAACCCGTGAAATCCTTAACTAAAGAGAAAGTGTATGAAGAACTCCCTGAAAATTTTGAGAAGTATATGCACAGTTTATAAAAAAAAATAACCTAAGTCAAATTGAAATTGAAGCTTTGTATCTGATCTAAGTTTCACATTCTGGTGAAAGACATCGGTCGAATAGACACAGAGATACAGTTTACAAACTTATCCCGCCAACTGTCATATTTGAAGTCGTTAGATAAAGATACTAGAGGTTGACTGAAGTCTAAACTGGTTAACCAATACTATATATCATCATCTGAACATTCGACAATCTTAATCAAGGAGCACAACCTGGCACTGCAAAAACTACACGTCAATGAAGATACGGTTTTTTGCAGGCCTGATGAAGGATTTGGTGCTGTCATAATGCACGAAAATGATTATGTGCTTATAATTGGAACAATTCTCAGTAACCCAGTAAGTTTTCAGGCGGATGGTACTGAGGAGTATTTAGTAATAACATTTGAAAGCAAAGTAAACAAGCACTTTAAATATTGTCTGAAAAAGTTGATTAATAATGCAACATATAATGAACTGAAAGCAAAATGTTAACGTCTTCTGTTTATGTATGGCTTGCCCAAAATTCCTAAGTCAGTTATTAGAGGAACAACTCATTACCACAGGTACTTTGACGACACATTTGTCGTTTGTAGTGATGTGAACCATATGTTTCAGTTTCTTGATAAGCTTGACGAGACTCATCTCAACATTGAATTTACGATGGAATATAAGAATGATAACGAGTTTAATCTTTTGGGACCTTAAGGTGAGAGTGAGAAATGGTGGTGCAATCGAGAAGACTTTTCATTGAAAGCATACATGAGCTGGAAGATAATCTAACTGCAACCGTTTTTATCTTGTCAGATATAAGCATGGACTAGTCAAAATACTTTACAGCAGCGTTAAAAACCTAGTTCCTGCGAACAAATTAGGGGAAGCGTTGAAAATTGTTGAGAAGTGCCTCAGAGATATTGGATATCCAAAGAGATATATCATGAAATATAGGAAAGGACTAGGCACCCAGCTTTTGAAATGAAGGTTTTTGTTCACGTTTCATTCAAAGGACCTGTAGTATCTGAGAGAATGGACTCGAGAATCAAAGGAGCACTTAAAAAGATTTTCTGTTGCCGAACTTCTATCCGTATACGATACCGCATGCTTACTGAATCAGTCCAAATTGGATAAATATCCTGGTTATGTATGTCACCTCCACCTGCATCTGTTGATACGATTACCGCAACCGTTATATTTAAGGGATATGAAGATAGCTATCCATTTGGTTCGCTGAAGTATTCACGCTTGAAAAGAAGCATGATTCCAACTGGACTACTACACCTCACGGGAGTGACTGGTATAAACCGCTTTCAAATGCACTTTTCCATACGAAGAGACTTTGATCAATTTCCTGCTTCTATGTCGACTATAATTCGATATTGTTTCATTTTAATTTCATAATTCTTTATTCTACTCACCTACTGGTCCTAACTTACTGAGTTGATCTCGACCTTGTTGATGTTATTTCTTTGAGCGCTGCATACTCTGTTAGTTAGTACTAATTGTTCCTTTTCTTACATTTCTTATCTGCCACTGGGCAATTCTTGAACCTTGTTCTGCATAATATATGAAGTGGCAATGATTTTGATATACAACTTAAGATTAAAGAGTTTCTTAATACTTCGGTTTTCATAATTTTAAATTACACTATATGCTGTCTTACAGTAGTTTTTAATATTCTATTATATAATTCCATCCCAACAATATGAAGCTGTACGTTCGTGAAATTAAATGATGTCGTTTTATTCTACAACTCTAGTCTTTCTTAATTTGTCCAAATTTATTACAGTATCCAAATGCATGAAATCTTAGTTATGCTGCAGACTCGGTCCGTTTAGATTTCCGTACATTTTTCAGACCAACATCTAGAGATTTCAGTAATTGATGCCATATTTTGTCCTGGCCATCCTTAGTTTCTTTCCAAGCCTAGTCATACTCTAACGTGCTAGAGCAAACAACAATTGGGGATCCTCAACATATAATCAAGCTGCCTAAGTTGATAGACATTCTTAACCTGCTGCTCTTAAGACTCTACTCACAATTTCTGATTTTTCAACATACATTATATCATTATACGTGGCCGGTAACGCGAAGGCAGTGATGGTCAAACACCTGACGTTTTCTAAAATAACCTAATAGTCATGTTTTGAAGCCATCGAATAGTATAGAAAGTAATACCACTCAATACACTCAGTGTTTAGTAAGCATTCAGAAATCTCATGAACTCTACAAGTGAAATGTATTATTTAGTAAGATCAGATCGTCAATAATTTAGAATACGACAGCAGTTACTTTTAGTCTTGCTACTATTCAGAAGAACTTTCCGTCTTGATATTATCTTTAGGAACAATCGTTCCAGCTAGTATAACTTGCTAGGCTGTTATAATACGCAAATGCAACCACCATATCAAGATAACTGAATGCAGAACAAAGAGTTTCATCTTTATGTCTCAGCTGAATACTCGTCATCAGCCATCTGTGTATTAGCTTTACTTTTGAACCTCAGTTATTATTCTTTATGTTGAAACTAATTTTCAAAACGTTTATTATCGCTTGGTATTTGTCGTCAGTGTTAATCTCATTGCATAGAAAAATCTACTTTTATTGTAACTTGTTTTTGATATACTAAGCGGTAGGTGATTTCTTTTACTTGTGACCTACAGAAGAATTAAAATATTTTCGATTATTAGTTCACTCATATTTGCCTTAGTGTATTTTCTTGACTGTAAGTTTTCCGCTTTTCTTGATGTTTCAGTGCACGTTATCAAATGAAGAGCATGATAAAGTACTGAGGCGTTGGGCATCTTACTTATTATCATCTCAAGTTCATCGAAAAGTATGTTATTCACTACATTTTATCCAAATATCTGAATATGCTTTTTTCTGATTTGTGACTGGTTAACCTATGGAGGTTTTTAAATTTTCTATCCGCTACTGTTAATGTCTATTTAGCTATTCGTGATTTGATTCTTTTTCTCACATCTATTCTGGTCGCTTGCCAATTAAAACGGAGAGAACTGTAAGTGCGCATGCTGAGGGGTTATCCATGTTGTAGAGACATATGCTAACAAACGGAGGAATAATGAGAGGGTGTTCACGATGACGACTTAATCAACAACAAACTGTAAGGTTTATTAATGTTTGTGCAGTATTTTTGAGGAAATCTATTTACTTGGATGAAGCCATAACAGTGACAATAATTGTTAGTTTTAGATATTAAACGATATGGTTTAAGACAATCCACTGCATTCCACATTTTCCATTTTAAGCAATTCTGAGATGCTAATTGAGTTAAAGGATATTTTATGTGTTGCTTTCCTCTTAAAATTGCTTTAGAGCTAGTGGTCAGTGGTTGGATGCTCATACCATTTAGCCGCACCTTTTCCCCAGAAGATGCAAGTATATTAGATCGTAATTAGCGACCCAAATACCTGGATTGACACGGTAATATAAAAGTAAGCTTAAAAAAAGTTGATAGGGAGTTGAAAAGTTAATTACTTTCGGAATAGGAAAAATATCCCACTTCGAAGCTTTCAGTGTAGGGTAATTATATTCCGTTATCATCGGTGTTCAGTAACAGAGGGATATATAATTTCATTACTACCTTATTGTCTTAACCTCGCCTAGTTTACTAACTCACTAGTCACTAGCCGGCCCTAAGCCCACATAGAGAGGGAAGGTTGGGCATAGGGCTAGCAATCCTACCTCGTTAAGCCAATCCAATCGCTAAAGAAACTTCAAAGCACAGACGAAATATAAAAAATAAAAACGAACTTATTCCTCGCTGGAATCAGGGAGAGAAAATGACACCGGTTGGTGAAAGCCTTCAGGAAACCAGTTGGCCGATGTATCTTCTCTCTCTCGATGGAAGCAAAAGTAAGAATTTATTATTATTATTAGTCCCTTGGGTTCCTAATGGAACATAGGGCTTCAGTAGCACGTCTCGAGTGAACTCTGTTCTCTGAAATCTTTCCAACCTGGCTCCACGACAGCCCAGAAGCTCTCATTTCCTCCTCACACGATCTCCTCCATGTCACCCTCGGATACCCACGCCCAACTCGTCGCTTCCCATGGGGATTCCACTCGAGCAACTGGCCTGATGCGTGATGTCCCCAGTCGGATTTCTCAGTGTATGCCCAATCCATCTCCATTTCCTTCTGCATATTTGTTGGGTGATAGGTACTTGGTTGGTTCGTTCCCAGAGTTCCTTGTTGCTTATTCTTTCTGGCAATCCATCTGATCTTCAGTAATGAGTGAGTGGAGGCAGTTGTTGAAGAATGTCTGTACTTTATTGGAAATGCCTTTCGTAACGCGCCAAGTCTCTGAGCCATACAGAATCACTGACTTGACTGTCGTTGGTGTTGAAAATCTGGATCTTGTTCACTTTCTGCTGAGTGCAGAAGATCTCCACACTGGTTTCAGACTAATGAACACCTGTCTTGCTTTTCTGATTCTTACTTTGACATCCTTGTGTGTGCCGCCACCTGTAGTTGAAACAGTGCTGCCTAGATAGGTGAGAGAGGCTACTTCCTTTAAGTTTCTCCCAGTTATCCTGATTGGAGCTTGTTGTTGTTGTTGTTGTTGGAGTTGTTGGTGCGGTATCTTCATCACTTCTGTCTTCTCTATATTCACTTGAAATCCCGTCTTCACTGCCCGGCCTCTTCTGCCAACTTGTTAGTTTTCGCCTGTAGATCTTCAAGTTTGTGTGACATCAGGCACAAGTCATCACTGGCGAAATCCGAATCTTCTAGGTTCTTTTCCGCAGTCCAGCCAGCATATCCCCCTCTTCTCGCTCCCCACTGTTTGTTGCATGATCCAGTCTAGTCGACCACTATCAGGAATATCATGGGGGATAGTAGGCAACCTTGTTTCACTCCTGTCTTCACTTCACTTCAAAAGCATCACTGAGCTTTCCATTGTGTTGTGAATTACTTGGCATGTGGCGTCTTCATATAGTTTTTGAATGAGGCTTATAAAGGTTTTGCGTTATTCCGTAGTGTTGGAACAGTTTCCAAATTACTTCTCAGTCGACGTTGTCAAAAGCCTTCTCAAAGTCGATGAAGTTGAGGTAAAGAGTTGACTGCCATTCTATACTCTGTTTTATGATAATGCGAAGCGTTGCAATTTGATTCGCACATGATTTGTACTTCCTGAAGGCAGTCAGCCAGCCTGTTACGGTCATAGTTTTGAATCCAGCGCATCCTGTAGTATCTCCAGGATGATGCGGCTTAATATTTTGCTTGCTTTGGGTAGACAGCAGCGTGATTCCGCGCCAGTTCTTGCAAACACTGAGGTCTCCCTTCTTCGCAGTTTGACAAGTTAGTCCTTCTTCTAATCAATCTCCAGGTACCTTTACTTCCTTCCACACCTTCTGCAGTAGTGGTGTGAGCATGTCCACTGTTGTCTGTTGTCTCTGCGTCTGTTTTCAGTGCTTCTGGTGGGATTTCATCTGGTCCTACTGCTTTCCCACACTTCACAAGCTTTATGGTGTTCAGGACTTCGACTTTCGCCGTCATCGGATTTGTGTTCACTTGTAGTTCAGTTCAGCGGCTGGGCTGCAGGTGGTATTTCTGGACGAAGTGCAGGTGGTGGTCGATTCAAGAGCTTTTTGAAGTGGTCAGCCCACCGTTTCCTTTGTTTCTCCTCTTTGGTAATTAGATTTCCGTCATCATCTTTTATTGGTTTCATCTGCACTGTGTTGATCTCTTCACTACCAGATAGTAACCTGGTTATTTGATACAATGTTGTCAGGTCTGTGTCTCTCCTACCTGCAGCCTGTTCTGCTTCACTTGCCAGTGTGTCGTGGAAGTGTCTTCTGTCTTCTCGCGCACTCTTCTTCTCGATCCATGGTTAGTTCTCTTCCTATGTTGTCCCCTTCTAGTTCGGCATTCATGTCGCCCATTAGGATTTGGATGTCACCAACTGGGGTGCAATCTTGTCCAGTGTTGATTGTAGTTGTCTGTAGAATTCCTCCTCCTTCTCTTCATCTGCATTATTTGTAGGTGTATTGCCTTGTATGATTGTGACCTTCCTTCCTTTTCAGTTGAACCTTGTTGTCATGATCCTAATCGTGGAGGAGATTGGTTCCCACTACATGAGAGTCTTCGATGCTGTTGGGAGGGGGACATCATGATAGCCACTCCAAAACTCAGTGTACTCGTGGTTGTCGTCTGGGTGACAATATCGGAGTAGATTATTGACTCTCCAGTTGACAGTTTGGAGAGTTGACTTCCATTCCATCTGCTTTCGCAAATTCCTAACACTTCAATGCAATACCTTCTTATCTCGTTTGCAATCTGGGTAGCCTTGATAGGTTAAAACATAGTGTGGACATTCCATGTCCCCACGTTTACTTTCGCTTCCATCGAGAGAGAGAAGACACATCGGTCAATTTGCTTCCCGAAGGCTTTCACCGACTGGCGTCATTTCGCCTCTTCGATTCCAGCGAGGAATAATTTTGTTATTATTTTTTATATTTTGTTTGTGCTTTGAAGTTTCTTTAGCGGTTGGATTGGTTTTACGGGGTAGGGTTGCTGGTCTTACGCCCAACCTTCCTTCTTTAGCCGGGCTTAGGACGGCTAGTAATTAGTGAACTAGTTAACCAGGCGAGGTTAAAAGTAGGAATGCGGACATAGAATATCCGCCTGATGTTTCCAGCTGGCTGGCTGGCAAGGCTACCCAGATTGCAAAAGAAGTGAGAAGATATGGTATAGAAGTGCTAGCAATTTGCGAAAGTAGGTTGAATAGAAGGAGACACCCCAAACTGTCAACTGGCGAGTCAATAATCTACTCTGATATTGTCACCGAGACGATAGTCACGAGCACACTGAGTTTCGGAGTGGCTGTCATGATGTCTTCAACAACATCGAAGGCTTTCATACAGTGGCAATCAATCTCCTCCTGCAAAATCATGGCAGGAAGTTGGATTCAACTCAAGAGGAAGCAAATTTACAATCATACAATGCTACACTAGGCATCTACAAATAATCCAGACCAAGAGAAGAAGGAGTAATTCTATAGACAACTGAGATCAGTACTGGACAAGACCATACCCCAGATGGTGACATCAAAATTCTAATGGGTGGGGTGACATGAATACCAAACTGGGAGCAAGCAACGCAGGAAGAGAACCAACCACTGGTCGAGAAGCACCCGGTGAAATGATGAATAAGAATGGAGAACTGTTTGCAAACTTCTCTGCACACTTGATGATTTGGTGATGGAAGCAGTTTGTACAAACACAAGGATATTCACAAAGTGACATGGATTTGATTTCATCAGATGGACACTCCACTAAAAATCAGGTCGACTTCATATCAATCTCAAGATAGTGGAGACGCAGTCTATTTGACACAAGGTCAAGAAGAGGAGCAGATGTAGGTTCAGACGATTGGCCAGTGTAAGGAACCTTCCAAATCAAGTTGAAAGCCTGAAAAGAGGTTGGTGGTAGACCACAGTTCAAGTACAATACCCAGAACGGGAACCGAAGGATTAAACTACAAAGGAGATCACGCCAGTCGTCAGGAAAAAGTGGGAGACATTAGGCAACATCCCTGAAGTATTGGACATGGAAGAACACTGGAACTCTTTGGAAGAGATTTGGATGGAAACTTGCATAACCGTGTTAGGAAGGAAGAAGAAACAAGACAAGGAATGCATCTCGACGGACACATGGAAGGTGATAGAGCAGGGAGAGGAAGATGATGACTCAGAAGATGAACCAGTGTAGTGCAGTGCAGGGATTTACAAAAGGAAGAACTGAGTACAACGTACAAAACACTACACTGGACAAAGAAGTGAAGAGGATTGCGCGGAAAGACAAAAGACACTTCTGCGACACATTGCCAAGTGAAGCAGAGCAGACTGCTGGTAGGTGAGACCTGACAACACTATATCAAATAACCAGGTCACTATCTGATAGGGAAGACATTAACACAGCACAGATGAAACCAATGAAAGATAGTGAAGGAAACTTAGTTAGCAAAGAGGAGAAACAAAGGAAACGATCGGCTGATCACTTCAAAAAACTCTTGAGTCGACCACCATCTGCAACTCGTCCAGAAATACTGTGAGGAGCGAGAAGATGGGAAGACGCTGTTTAACCGGTGAAAAGACCGCGGAAGATTTGGATTCCGCGGATGATGATTTATGTCTAATGTCGCGCCAACTCGAAGATCTAAATGCGAAAACTAACAAGTTGGCAGAAGAGGCAATGCAGTGAAAGAAGATGGAACCTCCTTTGGGTGAATGTGGAGAAAACGGGTGATAAAGAAGCCCAACCAACAACAACAACAACAAGCTCCAATCACCATCAATGGGAGAAATCTAGTGAAAGTTGTCTCTTTCAAATACCTGTCTAGGCAGCATCGTTTCAGCTACAGGCGGCACAGTTGAGGACGTCAAAGCCAGGATCAGAAAAGCAAGATAGGCCTTCATAAATCTGAAGTTAATGTGGAGATCTACTACACTGCAGTGCACTCAGCGTAAAGCGTGTACAAGATGCGGATTTTCTACACTAATGTCAATCAAGTCAGTGGTTCTATGTGATGATAGCTGCTGCCTACGCTCGCTCGATACTGAAGATGAGATTAGATGATCAGAATAATAAGAATGAGCAACAATGAATTCTGGCTGGCTGGGAACGAACCAGCGAAGCAAGAACTTATCGCTTGACAAATGTGCAGAAGAAATGTGGAGATGGACTGGATCGGGCATACATTGAGGAGACGGATTGGGGACATGACGTGCCAGTCCAGACCGTTGAGTGGAATCCATATGGGAAGTGACTATTTGGGCGTTCGAGGGTGAGATGGAGGAGATTGTGTGAGGAGGAAACGAAAGCTTGTGGGCAGTCGTGAAGCCAGGTTGAAGAAGAAGACTAGAGGGAAGAGAGTGAAGTGACGATGTGCTACTGAAGCCCCGTATGTTCCACTAGGAATGCAAGGGAAAAGTATTGATAGTAATAATATCTAGTTATCCTTAATTGTTAATGGAAGTAATTGAAGCATTTCTCGAGGATGAACTTATTCAAATTTACTACAAATAGGTAAATGACTTAGGAATCTCAACCTACGATTTGATGGATATTTTTTTCAAGTATCTATTTTCATATAAAGATTTTAAATTTGTAGCGATATGATGAAGCAAATTTTTGATGTGTTAAAAAAATGTCCAGGTTTTGTTGTTGCGTGTGTGAAAAAGCATTTACTTGATTTAGACGAAATCATAGAAGGAAGTCTGTTGAAACGTATACTACTGAAGTGTATATGGAGTTGTTGACTCGCGGTTTTCAGTACTAACCAAAGAAGATTGTTGTATGTTCCGTATTATGAAGTGTTGTTTGTCATAGTCTCAATAGTTACTTTTGGGAAAACTATCATATGTGACTGTTAAAAATTCTTTGTTATCTGCTTTTCGTATGATGTTTACTGTAGTTTGGCATTGAGTAGTATTCTTAAGACACGCCAAAGGTCATTGAAACTTCTAAGGCATTTGGTTAATTTTTTACTAGTTTCTGTGTAATATATTATCTGGTATTATTTTGTTTTTGAATCCCATATTAGGATTTAGCAGTCCTTGTCTATGTTTACTTGGAAGATCATAATGCTGTTTTAAAACTGCTTTTTAACCTGAATCAGTATCAGCTGGCAGCCAGATACTTAGAGGCATGTTATGAATTGGGGGTTTTGAAACCAACAAAAGAAACAGGTTAGTTGGATGCTATTTCGCGGTGTTAATTATACTGCCTGAGATATCTTTTTTTTTTTTGGTTAACCTGACGTTTATCGACTTGGGATTGATGTTCGAAGGTGTCTACATTGATAACTTTTCAAGGTAGTTTTTTTCAGCACTGACTGATACCAGTTAAAATGTTCCTGCGAAACAGAAAGCAGTTACGACGTCCCCATTTGATGACCTCAATTCGTTCTATGGGATTGAGCATGGAGTTTTATTTGGTGATGAGTTTGTCGTACATCAGTCATAAGGAAAGCATAAAATATTTACCGTTTTATAACCAATTAGTTATGTTACACAGCGTTTCTATAGTTTCGTTGGGATGGATTATTTCGGTAGACAGGGTTAATTGTCAAATCTTTCTTTTTGACGAAAGATTGCGTTAGTGCTATAATTGCTTGTATTACTTGTATCATTACTGAAAGATTGTGTTTTTCTCTTGATTGATGTTGAGCATCATTCAGCTATTTGTTCTCAGGGTTTCAATAAAGTGTGACCTGATTAGTTCACTAATTCTCACAGAATTGATCTGCTGTGCGTCAAACAAAATATCAAACAGCTTAAAGGTCAGTATTGGGTTAACATCTTGAATAGGGGATTGTAGATGGCGTATATAGATCTATATAGGTCTACTTCTTTTTACAGGGCATTTCTTTTAGCTATGAGGTAGCAACTTCTACCCAAACACATGATCACATTATTGGATTAATGATTTCGTCTTCAGACGTATTTCTGATGCTTCTGCTAATCATCAAAATGGACCGGAGCCGGCTTTAAATTTTCCCATGCATTATCTTATTGCACGCCAAGCTCTAAGAAAAGGAGAATTTCATTTTTTTTATTTTGAGGTGAGGTAGCTTGGTATCTATCGTGTATACATGCTGTACTTTGATTCCACTTACACTTATTTACAATATGTTGTAACTAGTCTGGAAAATAATAACCATCGGTGGGAGTTTGAAACAGTCAGTGTATGTTTATAGCATCGTACAAATTAACGGAAGGATTCAGACTCATTCCTCCTGACTGCATACATCCTATGAATATGAATCATTTGAGATTGAAATAAACAGTCTATGTGTAAATAAAAATGACCCTTAATAGGCTAGAATTAGTAATTATTTCCATATGTTTCGAAGACTTCCTTGACTTTTGAGGTTCATGAATCATGCATCTATCAAGTATATCAAGTATTTTAGAGTCTATCCTTTACCAACATTACCACTTTAAGAAAGAAATAGATGAAATTTGTAGGCCATTTTATACGTCTTAGAAGCTGCATCAACTTTCTGACAACTGTAGTAAGTGTAATTTAGAAAGATGCTGTAAACAATTGTTTTTAGACAACATGTCATTTCATGAACCCACTAGTTGTTCATCTGAACCTATCACGAAAATATTAGTTTTTTGGCTTAGTTACATTCAATCTTAGGTATGAGCACTTTGGAATCACGAGTAACGTGAAGCAAAGTCGGTTTTGTTAGAGGAGATGCTTTCACTCAGTATTGTTCAAATTTTTAACATAATAGTCTTTTGTAACCCATTTTCTTGCCTTATCATTTCACTTCAGTATTTTTCGGCTCTGGTTTATTTCTATGCTGGGGAAAAGCAAAAGTTAGAACCGACCCCCATTTTTGTTACGTTTAACATTGTTTTATTTGTTTATATCAATTTTGTGGTTTGTCTGACATTACTGGCAGGTAAGAGGAGAAGCGGTATTTTAGTTTCGTGCAACATGTTCATGAACAGAAATGCATGTTTTATGCAATTTCTTCTCTTAATAGATTTAAATAAAGCGAGAAAAACATTGTTAGCAGAATAGCATGAATCCATTTTGTTTCGAAGTTTCTCATCAGTTGCTTACAATTTTAGACAACTTCAATATCAAATTATACGAAATGCTTACATACTTGAATCTTCAAATAGATATACCAGAACTTATTATGTCTATGTGTAGAAAGTTTCGATGAATATTTTAGAAACAAATTTAGAACTAAAGAGGGAGAGAAATTTTGAAAAAGGTTACATAAAAATAAATTTATAAGGATTGGGGGATTTACTCCAGCCGAGAAAATAAGGTAAGTAGAATTCAAACAGTAAGGTCAAGTGGTTATAAGGAAATAACAACAAGCGTGTATGAATCGATATGACACAACGTCCTAATTATCAAGAGCACACAATGGTATCTGTTTCTGAATAGTTAAGTTCAACCTTAATCGATTAATGACTATCGCTGCAGCGGAAAGCAACAAATTTGAATGCACCTGTTTATTAAATATATTTTAAATGATTTTGATTTCCCTGTCTTCCCACACAGTTTTGTCTACGTTTATATCAGTCTTTCTTATCAACTTGTTCTTTGTGTACTACTGTAGAGTATAGCAACTTCAACCGATGCGCTTATGTGCTAGGTTCTACGTTGATTTTATCTGTCTATCTATCTGGATATCAACTTCATGCCCAATATAAGGTGACGGACAAGGGGTGTTGAAGATTTTTCTACCTCAGTTTTAGACTTCTCTGAATATGCTCAGACATGCGGTTACAAACCCTTTTATCTTTTTTCCTCGATTGTATTACACTCTGGCATTTACACATGAATCAGTATATACAGATGAAAGCAACATGAAGAAGGAAATTGTCGACATTAGATAGTCTCAATGCGCAGTTTTTTTTTAAATACAGCGCTATTAGCCAACAGTGACTTTTACATTCATGACTATAAGTGATTGTATCTACATTATTTTGATTTTATTCCATTTACAAGGACTAGAGAATAACTGTTTTTCATTAGCACGTAATATCTACTCGTAGTTCGATGTGCTGAATTCAGAATTCAACCGTAATAAATTATAAACTTGAGAAACACTTAGTAGATTCGTAGATATTAAAGATGATGATATTAGTTACTATAGAACTGTTAGTAATATGTTATATATTGCTTTTATACTCTTGACTTGCTTCACTTGCAGAATCGTTGTATGAATCAATATTTATGGAATTCGGTTCTTTGCTTACAAAACTTGGTCATCATGAAGCTGCTATGTATTATTGTAATTTGGCTGGAAAAATAGCTGATTCATTAAAAGAGGAAATAGATTTTTTGTTGTCGTAAAAAATGAGAGCAAAAATGCTGTGGTTTTTATGAATATGATGACAGTTGATATCTATTTGTTTTTTCTATTTTCCCACTTCGTAACTTATTCTTTTTTTTCAAAAAATAAATAAATAAATAAAACATCTGTGGCTGTGATATACTTATTCACTGACTTAACACTACTAATATTACCCTTACCGATATTGTTGATCATTTATTTTGTTTCCAACTTTTAAATGTCAATCTGCTTTCAGCCCACTTCATAGCATCCAACAAACGCTCACATTATACTTTCATGCTTTCAAATAATATTGTTTTCACATTCCAATTTTGCAAGCACTTCGTGTACATTATTATTTTTTCTCTTTTGTTGTTTGTTTTTGAAAACTATCGAGAAGTGATAAGAAATTTATCAGTTTTGAAAATAAAACTTTTGCTACTTTCATTCAATTTCTATTGGATTTGTATTGGTAAAGTATGATATACATTTGAAATTGAATTTTGTTTTTAATGTTGTTTACTTTTATTCAATATGATTTGGTTGGAATCTACAAGGAGAAATAATAATAGGGATATTATTCACTTCAAGGCCTATGTACATGGTGATCGGCTTACCTTTTGATTTTTTCTTGGTGTCTATTTTGAAGTTGATACATCGTCTACATGGTTCATTTTTGTCTTTCAGTAATGAAGTTGATTTTAAATAGGGATAATGATCGAAATTATGTATTTAAAGATGATGAAAAATGCTTACCTTCAGATTTTCAGGTGAATGCTCTCTTATGTTAATCTTTTTATCTATCTTTTCTACTTATTTGGTGGTAGTAATCTTCTGAAGTCACTAGGTATAAAAAATGGCTATTGGATTACTAGGCAATAGGTACCTATTTTCTCATGAAAATAGTTTATTATTCATGCCTTTTTGTTTCAGTCTAAATCACCTGGAACTAAGTAGAGCAACGAATTGATTGGTTGCAGTTGAAACCTAGTTGTATTATGTTCTCCGAGCTGGGTGGTTTAATCGTGAAGTTTACATTGTCTTTCTAGACGACAGCATCAGCAACAACTTCAGTGTGAAGTGAGCTGTCAGTATCTCTTCATGTGTAATCCACTGGCATGCCCTGACGAACACCAATTGAATCACTATTGGCCAAGGATATTATATCTCTCCTCTTCACTGAAGATACAAATCTTTCAGAACGCACTAAACTTCAATGTTCAGGTCTGATGGAACTCATTGATCTTTGTGGCAGAATATAAAAATAAAAAACAGGAACTCCAATGGGATCACCGTTGTCTGGGTTAGTTGCAGAAACAGTGATGCAGAGACTGGAAGTCATCATTTTACCTGTAATGAGGCCAAAAAATTGGGGTCCGCTTTGTGAACCAAACTTTTGTTATTATTCGAAAAGATTATTTAGAAAGCACCTTCAGTTTTATCAGCAATGGTTTCAATGACATCAAATTCACAGTGGAGTCAGTAGAACGATTGTTGGAAAACTGGAAACTCGTTCACAGGAAATTGACGGACGCTGGTCAAATTTTCAACTGTAGTAGCGACAACGCATAAAATTAGTTGCTTACAGACTGTTCAAAAGAGTGAGAACGTACCACAGTACAACAAATTCGCAGAGAAACGAGGAAAATTACTTGATGTGCACCCTAAAGAAGAACGGCTACTCACGAAACTTTATCAGAAAATGTCTATTCTGTACATCATTAACCCCAAAGTCATCGACAGTAATCATAAAGAATATATCAGAAATCACGACAAGATTACTGAGACCACTTGGAATTGATGTAGCTCATAAACCAACAAATTCCTTCCAAACACTTATGCAGACCAAAGGATGCAACAACCAAAGAAGACAAACCAAATATCATTTACAAAATCAACTGCAGTAACTGTAGTCAACACTACATTGGACAAAGTGGCCATCCTCTTCACCTTCGTGTACATGAGCGCCAGTTGGCCATTCAACGTCACGACATTTTACCACTCATTTCAATGATCGTGGATAATTATGGACATGAATTCAATTTTGAAAATGTAAAAATCTTGGACAGAGGAAACACAAAGAATATCAGAGAATCCCTAGAAGCTTGGCATTCAGTTTGGTCAGCAATCAGTAGATGTGTAGACACAGACCCAGTTTACCAACCAGTGGGAAAAATGATAAACAGCAAAAAGGTCAGAGGCCAGGCAGAAAAACAGTCAACAAGAAATATGTTTTCTATCCTTCGAGTATATGTGATTTGGTAACCAGCATTGCCAAAACGCTTTCAGCCTAGGAGAAGTGGTAGTCTGAGATAGGAGAGAAGATTCGCAGCTGAGGATGAGGTCGATAATTATTCGTTGTTTTCTTGGCTTTGAGGTTTGTCTTGGACGTTTCCTCATCAGACTAAGCGATTTCATCAACATTTACTTCATGAAGAAGTAAAGCATTTTCAACTTGCTTGAATGTTTATGAAGGGCATTTTCCAACTTTGAATGTTATTGGTTATGAGTAAAGATTTTTTTATGAGAGGTTGATCTCTATAACTGTTGTTACCATTCGACTTATTCTTTTGATCTAACGATCATAGGTTTAATTGATTGCCATACAGTTGGATCAGTGTCTGTGTCTCTGTTGATTGCCGTTTGGTTGCAGTACCATGTTCCCAAAGATTCCTTTTTTGTTTTGAGCTCACTTGTTGTATTTCTACGTTGCCTCAGTCAAAACTGTGGTTGTGCTCATCTACATGCATCGGTGTCAACGGTGACATATCATATCTTTTGCCTGTTAGCTGATGTTCATGACTTCTTTGGCGCATTCAGCAACTGATTTGGTGATCATAGTGATGTTAACAGCCTTTGCAACTAGTTTTCTAGGCTATAGTGGTGTTTTCTTTGGGTGATGAATCCTTCAGCTTGGTTAGTTTGTGTACTTCAGTGAAATTGAGTGAGTGAAGCAATCGTTTGACAATTTGAAACATTTATGATATTCGGTGAAGAGATTCATTTTGTAGGTTAAAGTGTACGTGTTCCGTTGACAGGCCTTTCATGATGCCGCTGACTGGATAGTCATTGGTTCCAAACAGTTTGTAATGATAATTTTCTTTCCACCTCCTCAGTTGTTGAGTGCTACTATGTCTTCGCACGTGTGATCAGTGCCTGAACACGAGTCTTCTTATGAGATGTTGGGTTACTATTGTGCTAGTCCAAAGCGTGATCTATGTGTCACCTTTCTGTGGACTTGAGTCTGTAAGGTTCCATTATATGTTCTACTGATAAGGATGTGTGATTAGCCTTCAGGTTTAGAAACGCAGTTGGTGAGACACTGAATCCGTATTCGATTTTGTGTATGAGGCAGATTTCGTTTCAGGTTTTCACTGGTAAAATGTATTTCGTCGACGTTATGTGTCATTGTTAATTGTGATGGACTGATATCTGTATGAAAGTTTTAAAGTTGTAGCGCAACTCATTCCGGTACAGATGTTTATGTTCTAGGGAACAAGTCATATTCAATATATAAAAGCTTAAGATACTACTTGGTTGCCCGAATCGAAGACAACTCAGTGAGGGAAATTTTGTTTTCGACGGTGGGATTATTTCGATGGTTGAAGAATAGCAAGAATTCCGTGGCAATGAAGAAAATTAATGGATTTCTTTGGTTTTCTGCCAAGCTTGCTATGGGGAATACCAGAATCCACTTACTGAAAGGCTGTATACAGAAATGCAAACATCCCGAACTGTTCTGGAAAGTTCCTCACCGTGGTCACATCTATCCAAATCGTTGTTCGCCGAAATGACCCATTCAGAATCATATCAACGAGACAAAGTTTTGATAACCCGAAACTGAATGCAATATCTCATTAACAGAACGTATCTTACATAAATTATCACATGATGAACGTGAGAAAAACTCAAAGACTACGCAGACAATTGTGAAAAAGTACTCAGACGATGTAATCTCGAAGCGTATGTTAAGTCTTAAAGCAACGAGTTTTCAATCATGTTTTCTGAAAAATTCTGTGGAACACTTATTTGGCTATTCTAGTATACCTTTATTGACATTCCAACTGCAACCAATCTCTTTAGGCCTTAAATCTTGTGACATTCCGCAACTCTAAATGCGCTCGGCAAAAATGTCCAGTTTGAAAGCTCAAGGAACCAGACAAACGTTCTAATCCTAACTTCCAAGAAGAGTCTCGAATAGTTTAAATCAACAGTTGTGAACTGTTGCCTTCATTATATGATCACAAAACCGAATACTAGAAAACTCTCGTTCAAAGAACATAAAGCCCGGCTTAACGAACTCCTGAAAAACAACAAATTAATCTCGGTCTGTCTAGACATGGACTGCCATGTTGAAAATTTATCATCCGTCCTAGCAGATCATTGTGGATTCTTGAAAGTTTTTCAGAAAGACGCAACAACAAAAAACCAACAGAAATTCTGCACAAGATGAAAGACGAATTGGCCACAAGTGCCTAGATATTTGAGCGATGAAGATCATTTGGTTCGGCATTTCTTCGACTCTGGTCTTTTCAAAGTTCATAAGGAAGACGTTCCTCTTTGTCCAATACGTGACATAATAATTTGCCATATTATGGAATTGCAAAAGGGTTGACCGAAACTCTCCAACCAGTGAAGAATCAGATAAATAATTACAGTACGACTGATTCATCCGACGTCAGTATGCGTGTGTGAAGCATATGTTGTCTTTGCACATCACGTCAATTTGTACATTTGTCCTTTTGACAGAAATGTACTTTTTATATGCCTGTATCGAGGCCAACAATGTTGAAATTGAAGTTCTAAAACAATTTCTTAAGGAATCACTGTTTTGATGCAACTTCAATGTACATTTCAGATTTAATAATTGGTAAAAGAGTGGTTCCACATAGGTTCGTCTCCTAGCTGATTGCTTCATGGCTAGTCTGGAGAACAGTAAACTACGTTCATTCATCAACTAGTCATCTCTATTTAAGCGGTGCATGCATGACAGCTTCGTTATCCTTGTGCTACAAAATTTCGACGGATGTCACTGGTTAATTGAATTTACTAGGAAAACTGAAAATGATTCAGAATTAAACTTTCTAGACGTTCTGTTGAGAAGAAGACGTGACGCTTCGCTAAGAAGACTGATATACAGGAAACAAACGTGAAATGGATAAAATATCAATTCTCAAAGTTGTCTTCCATCAGGAAGGGAAATAAACCTTTGCGCACTGTGTATAAGATTTAGAATAATGTGTAAAGAGGAAGCAATAAATGAAGAGTTGGAAGTGCTTCGAAGATTGGTTATCGAGAAGGGTTGTGTTGCAAGATTTATTGAGGAAAATTAAGCCTAAACAATACCAAGGGAGAACCTCTACAGTTCTTAGGAAAACACTATCGGTGAGAGATTGACTAATGGTCCGTTATGTCTCATTCGTCGCTTCTTTTTTCTCCCATTAATTTGTCAAACTTTTTAATTGGAGTCTTTGAATTTGTTGAAAGCAGCTGATTTGACTTTATTGGATGCTACAACTAGAAGTTCTCTCTCTTTTGTTTATTATCTTCATAAGTCTACATTTCAGTTGTTCGATGTCACTACGCATACTAGCTAATTTCTTGAAAATTCTGCATTTTTCTCTCAGATGTAGTTTTCTGATATTGTGGCGAATATCTGTAGCTCATAGTGTGTATATTCAAAGTTTTCCTTGGAACTGGAGTCTTATTTGGCAGCTAAAGCCCTAGCTCAGAGAATAGCTCCCTCGTCATTTGTTCTATTGCTCTTTTCACTCTTTCTGTTTGAATAAGAGAACGTAGATGAAGATATTTATGAATGACTTGGTTTTTATGCGTCGAATGTTAGAAACACGATGATTTCTATATCGTGCTTTCATTTATGAAAGTCGTGTTTTTTTTTTACTAGTCTTCGAACGGGTAGACACTATATTTCATTAGTTTAAATGTAAAGCACGGAATTGTGGTAGAGCATAATTCTATATTAGATTGTTCATTCGATATGATAAACAGTGATATAATATTATTTACTGGATGACGTTCGAGCAGATTTTATTGCTTATCATCATATCAGACATTGGAGCTGGTTACATAAGCCGCGCAAAGCATGTTC